TCAACAACTTAAGAACAGAGAAAACAGAGAAAACACAAACAACTTCAGAAAACATCTTCATCAGTTTGACAACACATGAGCTGCAGATACTCACAAGTTATTTTTTGCCTTAATTCTAATAGTGACAGTGACAGAGAGAGAGAGAGAGAGAGAGAGAGAGAGAGAGAGAGAGAGAGAGAGAGTGGAGGATGATATGCAGCAAAGGGCCACGAACTGGACTCGGGCCGCTGCGGTTAGGACTACACCTTCATGGTACACAAGTTCCCCCAGACACGTTTTAAACTCTATACAAATCCTCTGCTATGATTTAGTTCAACATGTTTTCACACGGGCGGCACGGTGGTGCAGTGGTTAGCGCTGTCGCCTCACAGCAAGAAGGTTCCGGGTTCGAGTCCCGGCTCGGACGCGGGGTCTTTCTGTGTGGAGTTTGCATGTTCTCCCCGTGCCTGTGTGGGTTCTCTCCGGGTACTCCGGCTTCCTCCCACAGTCCAAAGACATGCAAATGGGGACTAGGCTGATTGGTTACTCCAAATTGACCATAGGTGTGACTGTGAGAGTGAATGGTTGTCTGTCTCTGTGTGTCTGCCCTGCGATGGACTGGCGACCTGTCCAGGGTGTACCCCGCCTCTCGCCCGAAAGGATGCTGGGATAGGCTCCAGCCCCCCCGTGACCCTACTAGAGGATAAGCGGTAGAAAATGGATGGATGGATGTTTTCACACATGAAAACTGGGTCTGAAGCTCATCTCCTCTTACTTCCTGATTGAGAAATGTGGATCAGGCCTTTAGCCCCGCCCATCACCTGCTGTCTCCAGGTGGACAGGTGAAAGAGCAGAGAGTATCAAGATGGTTAGAGGAGGAAACATCAGAGAGACTCAGCCTCATGTTTGAGCCTCAGTCAGACCCAGACTCAGAGGAGGAGTCTGAGACCAGAACCAGAGACTAGCAGACGGATCAGAATCATCAGTGTCAATCCGGACCTCAAGCATTGGCAAATATTTTGTAATTCAGATGACTCCCTTTCCTCTAGCCAACATTTTGTCCATGCCAACATGTTTTTTACTTTATAGATATCAGACAGCAGGAGCTTCTTCACCCTCCACAGCATAAGTAATGGGCAGTAAACTAACAAGCACAGCCACATTGATTTAAAATGAAAATCTGTTATTTACCTAACATCACCAGTCTTACATTATTAGATTGTTAATACTGATGCATCACTGGAATAAAGAAGTATTTCACTGTGGCTTTAAAAGTGAAGTGGGGAGGGGGGGATTCATCAGTGTGTTGAGCTCTCAGGGCCACTGTAATAAGTATATAGTATAAGCTGCTCTTTGATTGGATGATAATATGTCACATATGAAACCAGGTTGGAGGATTATTGGAGGATATTTTTGATCTTACCTGTGGCTGTGGTCCCTGCTGATCTGTAACCGGCTGCTCCAGGAGGTTGCTACACTCCACCCTGGCCAGCAGCAGCTCGAAGCCCAGCAGTATGGCTCTGTCTGGGTCAGCATCCTCACTGAGTCTGAACTCACTGAAATTCATCAAACAGTAAAGAAGACAACTGAGGACAGCAGGACAAAAAGTGAGGAGTGAATTAAAAGCCTTGAATCCAGTGCAACCTCAACCCTCTCAAATGTCCTCATCTCCCTGCTCCGTACCTGAGTGGGGCGTCGGTGTTGGGCAGGTAGCCAATAGAGGCCAGGACTGACTGAATGGTGAAACTGCTGAGAACTGGCAGAAGACGGTAAACAAATGGACCTGTAAAAGTCTAGAGGAGACACAGAAACCGAAATACATTTAATGTATTACAACATCAAGAAATCGTACTTTATCAAAGACTTCTCAAAGCTGGTCAGTCATGTAGCAAGTGGGACATTTTATATTTGATAAATAAACGTGTCTGCAGCACTCTTTGCTGGACAAACTATGTAACTGAGACACTGGCCAGACTAATTCTAGGCAGGGTTTGACTATGTATTGTGTAAAATTCAAGTGGCAACCTCTCAGAAAAAATGAAGCCAACACTGAAGAACCTAAAGCTGCAGTTCCTCTAATGACAGCCTGGTACAAAAACAGTTTTGGTCTGTAGAACTAATTTCCTCCTTTATGACAACTGTTTATATAACTCACCTGTAGGTTAACCAGCAGTTAACACTTGCTACACAGTGATGAATGTCTGTGTAATAGTAGATTAGACATACAGGGTTGCGGAAACCTGTCTGCAGCATTCACTTGTAGTAAAGCTTCTGCAGGACAGTGATGAACATGAGTGATGACGCCTTGATAACAGGCTTTTATAACCCTCTAAACCTGTCTTCATCCACTCTCTGTGTCTTTGTGCCATTGTTTAATCACTCTGTGCTCTCAGGTGTTTCCTCTACCACATCCTGCACACAAACAGGAACTGGAACAACTCATCTGGAACCGTTACTGAAGCTTCATACCAAAATAAAACAACCCTGTACAAAAGGAGACTTTACAAAATTCTTGCCTATCATATTGGAAATTATTCATTAGCAGGGTCCACAAGTTACAAGGAGCATTATCACTCCCTGGTGAAAAATCCCTTCATACTTTTCATACTCCAGAAGGACTCCTGTAGAGCCTCCATCAGGACAAACACTTCCACGTGTATATGCATCTCAAAATCTAATGATTACTGATTATGGTTCAATTATCAGTCTCAAAGATTATCACATGACCTCTCCTACAGCACCTGGTAAACAGGATTTTTACCACTACTGCACTATAACACATAATGAACTCTTGGATGTATGTAATGGGTTTTAATGTTTGTGGTAAAATAAAATTCAACTTTCATACAATTTAGAAACAGGTTGATTACCAATGACCTCTAATGAGTAGGGGAGAGCAGGGACGAATGAAACAGCGATTTTCTCCAAGCCCACACAAGTCTGATATGTCAAACAGCGTCAGCGCGTACTGCACACATCACTTACTAAATGTTACATGGATACGTCAGACTCCTGTGGAGGTGCACCTGAGAGACTGTTTTGTGATAAGAAAATTCACTCAAGCTGCAGTTGTTTCAAGTGTCACTGACGTGATCTTATGACAGATTAATTAGATTCAGAAGTTTGCAATGTCAGAATCTTTCAGTATAGAAGGAAATCAGGGGCTCCTCTGTGTGTAATATTTCCAGAGAATGAATGAAGGGATGATAAGAGAGAGAGAAACTCAGGATGAAACAGTGGAGACAGAAACATGGAGGAAGTAAAGAAGGTGACTCTGACTCCAAGTTTAAAGAAAAAGATGGAGGAGGGAAAGAGAAACCGATTCAGAACCAGCCCAGGTGTCAGGTAATACAGAAACATGTACGGTCCAAACTCAGACAACTGATTGATTTATAATGTAAATACAACACAAATCAAAACAAAAGACTGAAACCTGTAGCAGAATGATTGACAGGTAAGAGAAAGGGACTAACAATAAAACAGATACACAAACTAACAATACATCAACTTAATTCATTTAGGCTGTTATTTCCTGATGCTGTGTTTACATTACTAAACAAAGATAATTTAACTTTTTACTTTCCATCTACAAGTCTAACTGTTCTTCTTAGTGTCAATCAGTCTGTCCAAACATTGATCTATAATCAATATATAAACCATATAGATTATGTGACAGTATTACTCCACAACGAAAATGAACTTTGACCACTCATAAGGTAACTGACATTACCTATAGCTGGAAGTGGCTGAAAGAAAGAAAGAAAGAAAGAAAGAAAGAAAGAAAGAAAGAAAGAAAGAAAGAAAGAAAGAAAAAATGAAGAGTGCCACCTTCAGAGTCTTGAACTCCTTCTTCCAGGGTTGGAGGAACAGGTTGACGCAGAGAGTCTCCAGCAGCTCGGTGGCTTTAATGAAGGCGGACAGGTGTCTCCTGCAGTCCGTGCTCAGGGCTTCATAGTCCTCGGCCACAGCCTGGTAAAACGGGAACACGGTGAAAATCCCCCCCGACTCCCGCTCCCTCAGCAGATACTGAGCCGCCTTCTTCAGTAGCCGCTCATCGCAGCACGGCCGAGCCTCCGGACACGGCTGCCGGTAACACTTCACATAATCCTCATAGAGCTCCTGGCGGGAAACCTCCGCCTGTTCTGCTGCTCCGGTACCGTCCTTCATGACCGTCACACCGACTAACACACACTCACAGCTAATCTCAGTCAAAGTATGAGGAAGTGTAGCTGTCAAAAACCTGATGAGGAAGTGAAAGTGAGGGCAGTAACCCTTCATATGTGCACACACATGACCGTTTAAACGCTCTCTTACACACCACGAATCCTGCCATTAATTACACCAATGACACATAATATGAGAGAATAGTAAAATAAACTTTATTCAATATAAAAACAATTATAAACACATTTTCAGGTACTTTAGAACAAAACTGTACAAATGCACATTATACTGTAATATTACAATGAATTACTGTGTCACAGTGTAATTGTACAGTACACTGTTATTGTAGATTGCTTTTTCTTATTTTTCATACATTTTAGGAAGTAACAGAATGCCAGAAATATTGTTAAAAGATCTGAATTATTTCATCATTTCCTCATACCAATGTTATGATGGTTTCAAGCATCTGATTTTTTTTTTTTTGACAATCTTTTTAACGGTCAAAAAGGCACAAATCACATTCAGGATAAATGCAGAAACAATAAAACCAACTGAGCAAGCAGCAATAAGAATAAGAACATCAGAAGAAAGAAAGAAAGAAAGAAAGAAATAAGAAGAAAACTAAAGAAAAATAATAAACTTAATATAAACGACAAAAAATAAATAAAAAATAAAGGGACAAAACAAGTGGTCGGTCAGGTATTAAAGTGCATAGATATTCATATAGGTGTTGGGCTTTTTTTTTAGCCCAAGTATTGTATAAGTATTAGTATTAGTATTGTAAAATTACATTTCCAAAGAAATAGGCTCGTAGAGGCCATGTTTTATTTTGAAAACTTTCACCCGGATACGTTTATGTTCGCTTCCGGATTGAGGAGTGTGTTTTGCAGTCACGTTGCCGGAGTCTAATCTGAGTTTCCAGACAGTTTAATGCAAGAGTCGGTGACATTAAGTGATGAGGTGTTGATGGTGGAGGTGTAGAGGTAAGTACACACACAGCACACGGCGCCATGTTGAAGGAGTCAGTCTTTGTTTGATTTGTACTGTCTGTGACTGTGTGTGCATGTGTGTTTGGGAAGAGTCCTGTCTGTTTCCACACTCAGCCGCTTTATAACCAGCTGTGAGTCTTTGTTATTTCTTACAGGACATATTGGGGTATTTGTTAGGTCATTGTGACGCATTCAGGTCAAAATCCTTACATGTTGTTTGCTGCTAATAATTTCCCTCATATTTGGCAGTAGCCATATTTAAGTTTTACCAGTGATAACTGCAGATTACTCTCATAGAACACAGAGGGGGCTGTGTCTGTGTCTGTGTCTTACTGAGAAGAAGAAACACCAGCAAAAATACAGGAAATACAAGCTGTGATTTTAGAGGCAAATCACACCAATATACATTTGACATCACTTCGTTATTTGGATCCCCATTAGCTTCCACAGAGTGGTCACTAGTCTTCCTGGGGTCCACTCACAAAAACAACAAATAAAACAAACAGTTATTAAAATCACACTATGTCCATAAAGCAGAAAAAACTCAAGAAGGCAAACACAGAAGATAATTAAAATAACTCTACATGTAAAACAACAACAATAATAGCTTACAGTGAAAACTAAATCAAGATTGTCACAAATGCACATTAACATGAAGAAAATGAAGACAGAGGTACAGAAACCACAGTAACATCTAGATGACATGTATCTAATTTTGTTTTAGTAACCTCTTGTTCTGTCTGATTTAAGCAGCAGACAGGAGCAAAAGAAGCTCTAGAAATGACAGTTCTCTTCATATAATTTGTTTGTGGCTCTTTGTTATATTTCTGATTGATAGTAATTCTAGTTATTCCTTTCCTTTGTTTTAAGCCCTTAACAATGGCTCCTTAATGATTGTGAGTATTAACAGATTACAGATTTAATCATGTGTGAGAATTTGTACACTAAACAACAACAGAAACATTATGGACTATATCATTCTTTTAATAAGAAGCAATGGTTTAAAGCAAATTCTTTTTTTTACAACAAGTGTGGGATTAATGTTGTTGCTTGTTGTGACTGTCTGTCCTGCTGCAGCTCAGAGAAGCACAGACATGAAGAACAGAGGTGGCGGCTGGGTGGACGCTCGGCTCAGACAGAGAGTGGAGCAGGTACAGCTCTCCTCATTCTCCCCAGGCTGTGTGTGAGCCATACATGGAAATGTTCATCTCACTATTCAGCTAAAGCACATGAGCAGTTTTCTACAGTGGGCTTGAGAGCTCAACTGCAACAAGCACTGCAACTTAGGAAAATACATGCAAACAGACAAAACACAAACAACTTCAGAAAATATCGTCACTGTCGCGAATCAAAGCAAAAAATATCTTTAAAAAAAAGGTGATGAACCTGCTGGGATGCACTTGTTCTTCAATGCTTTTAACTTCAAAAGTCACAAAGCATTGAATAACAAGTGCGTCCCAGCAGGTTCATCAGTTTTTAGTGTCCCCTGGAAACACTTCTGATGTGTTGTGAGTAGGGGTGGGCGATATGGCAAAAATATCATATCACGATTTTTTTAAAATAAAATCACGATTTCGATTTTATCACGATCTTAAATTGGAAAAAGAAAAACAGACAATTTAGACCAAAGAACCTTTCTTAACAGATTTTATTTCAAATAGTCGCAGTTTTGCCTGCATGTGCAAACAACGTAAAGTTTAAGGTAAACAACAACAACATTCTGGTTCGTCGTGTTACCACCCGACGTGCGAACGGTTTCTGTGCAAACTTTGCAAATTTGCTTGCGCTTGATCAGTTGCGGAAAATCCAAACCAATTCCATATAATGGAGGTGGAATTTTTTTTAGCGACCGACTCCGTTTGGCTTTCAGCCATCGCTCTCCATGTGCTACCGCTACACACACAAACAAGGAGGCGGGTAGGAAAGTGCGTCACTGCCCGTAATTTGCTATGATTGGTCGGTCAGGTTGACGACGTCAATACGTCTGGTGCGTCGGTGCATCAGCATAGAACTGCAATTTATAGAATGTGCCCTAGACGATCCCACGATCTCTGCAGTTTGAAAGATCGTCTTCACGTTGTAATCCTTCACGATCTAATATCGTCATATCGCCCTCCCCTAGTTGTGAGTATTTGCAGCTCACATGTTGTCACATTGATGAAGATGTTTTTTTTTTTAAATGTATGCAATGGCTGTCGGTACTGTAAGTTGTTGGGTTACTGGTGCAATATCACTGTGGTCCTTTAAGTTTATCAGAGTGTTGCTCAGTCATCTTGACTCTGTCTCATGGTGAATTGTGTTTTCAGTATCTGGCGTCCAGCAGCAGTGAATATGTGGACCTTTCAGACATGGCCATGGAACTTCAAAGACTACACAGGCAAGTTTCATCAGAATAGAAAAGCTTTAAATAACACACACACACTCACACTCTACACAATCAATACGTACAGGCCGCAGATACAAGTCACTCATATTCAGGACCAAGCTTTGTGTCCACATCCATCAGACTCATTAATGTCTTTTATTAACCTGGGGCTTGACCTTAATGACCCCACTCACCTACTATTGTTTATCTATGGACTATTTTAAGCACACTTACTATTTTAAACTTTTTTACACAAGCTAAGCTGAACTTTTTTGTCTATTGTGTTTTTACAAAAACATAGATAAAGTTATTTTGAGTTTGTGTTGAGTTTGAGAACAGTCTGTCCCACACTGACACAGCATGGTGACAACACCAGCACTTCTGTTGAAATGTCTGGACTTCAGTTACTCTACCATCAGAGATATGTGCTCAGTATAAAGAGTTAAAACACCAGCACAAACTACAGCCCCCACCATCAGAATACAGCCCCCTCATTACTCCTCTTTTACACCATCTTTAGTCAGTTTAGTGCTCATTGATATGTGTCTGTAATTTTGGTGATAAAGATCATATTGCCTCTTTTAGAATGGAGTATGGCAGAAGGAACAAGACGGCTTTCAGGATTCAAGTAGAGAAAGGTAAGAGGCAACAGTAGTGATGCTTTATTGCACTGTCACAGTCTGGCTTACATGTGTTTTCAGGGTGAGTATTTTAAACTGTAAATTTCCCCCCGGAGGGAATAGAAGGGCAGACGGGACAAGGTGAAGATGACGCTATTGTCATGTGATCACAGGTGAAAAGAGAAAAGAAAAAAGAAATATTCTGTATTTCTGAGAAAATAAATAATCACACACGTCTTCTCCTGCTTTGATCTGACTGTTGCATCTGCCCCTCACAGTGTATGTAGCCATCATGAAGGAGTCTGGGCTGGATCATCTGGAGAGCAAACATTTGGCTAAGAGAGCCAAACACAGCCACAATGACAATGGGTAAAGGACACCCCCCACCCCACCCCACCCCACCCCCACTCTCTCTGCTGTGCTCATACTGTCTCTTTAAATGTACAACTAATGCCTCACTAACGTGTGTGTTCACAGTGAAGGCAGCAGCAGCTCAGAGGAGTCCTCCGACACTGATGACCACGTTCTGGAGAACACTGTAAGACATGATATGAAGCTTCAATCTGAGAGCAGTATGATGGTTATTCAATTCAATTCAACAAACTTTATTTTATAATTAGCACTCAGAGAGCATTTAGCTCCATCAAGGCTGCACAGTCCTTTAAATGAGGGATTTAAAGACCAGGGGTCGGTTTCACAAAGACATCTCAGTCTGTAGTGTTGCTCCAGTCTTCATGTTGCTCACAGATCAGTCTGATGTTAGACAAAAATAAAGACTGACTCTTTTTAAGCCAAAGGAATTAGACATCTTACCCCCAGGCTAACTCAGGCCTAAGGCCAATGTTACCATGGTAACAATCAATGACACCTGTGCTGAGCAGTAGCACTCAACAAAACAAACATACAACAAACAAAAAACAGGAATCAGAAGGGAAGGAGTTTTTAGAGACCAAATCAGATTTTAGTTTTTATTGTTTCACTCTTCACTGAATTAAAATGAAGTAAAACGTCCTTGTAACTGTTGAATTCTTCTTAGGACAAACATTTTCTGCCGGGATAAATGGAGCTCAGTGGTCTTAATTTACCCAGAATTCATTGTGCCACAGTCTAGTTTAAGATAGTCAAGAACTAAACTGCATTGTGCAACAGGTGAATATAGACTCTATCTGAAGTCTGACTGTTTGTTCTATCTAAGCCACAGTCACAGTCTGTCTATGTGAAAGTGGCTCCTGATCATGATCTTTGTTAAATACACACAATGGAAGCACAAGGTTTCATCCAGCTCCTCTTGTCCATGTATGAAGGAGTCCTTGATCAGGCTGCCAAGTTATGTAATGTGGCAAGGAATTATGGGAAAACACTGTTATTTAAAAAAACTTAAACTCAATGTCTTGACAGAGGTAGTCCAGCAGTTTCCCTCTTAAAACTTTATCATCTGACAGTAAACCAGCGCAATTGTTTAAATGTTTAAATGAGCTCTGACCCTTCCTCACTGCTGCGTTCTGCCATCCACAGCCCACTAACCACATGAACAGCTCTCTTACGTCTCTGTACCGGAAGGGAAACCCCGACTCCGCCACCGGCTCACCCCGGAGAGATCAGCCTGCTGCCGGCAGTCCTGTCAGCACGGCCGCCCCCCCTCCCAGCGCAGGGACACTGGTCTCTACAGGAGGCTGGTTCATCGATAAAGGAAGAGGCCCAGAGAAGAGCAACATCCTCATCGACCTGTGTGACGAGGAGCCGGCTAACACTGCAACAAACGTACGTACCTGTGGAGAGCCAGTCTGTGGACTGAGATACAGGATTCTGACAGTTCTTAATAAGTAGGTGTTTTTTGAATTGTCACCAATAACTTCGGTGCTGTTTCGTATTTGTATGATCTTGATTTCCTCGTTTGAACATCTGAATCTGAACAGTTGCAAGTTGTTTAGTGAAAAAGGAAATGACTCTGTGATGCATTATCGACAGGTCATTAATGAACCATTTAGTGCCGAGAGAAGGTGACTTACCAAAAAACCTTCCTTCTCTGTCTTTCGGCCTCCAATCTGAAGTGAAATACAGCTTGTTATGAGATTCAGTTCAATTCTCTTCATTTTTTTATGCCTCTTCGCCGGCGACAGCCAGAGCTGGTGGAATATTGTTTTCCATGTTGTCTGTCCCATTCTGATGGACAGGACACCTCAGTCACGCTTTGATGGAACGTCTTCAAACATTCACTTGGACTCAAGTGAATGTTTGCTGTTGTTTGACGTCTAGAGTCCATTTAAATCATTTCTGTGGTCCTCTTGATTTCATTTGCCTACACTCAAAGGTTAGTTTGTAAAACAGCTGTTTAATGTCGACATTCAGAATACCAGCTCCACTCAACATCAAACAAATAAGTATAGAGAAAATGTATGATGTAATCTACACAAAGAAGTTTGTGAATTAGAAGAATTACATGAATGTACAGAGCTGAATAAATGACATAATTTAAGTTTTGTTGTTATTTTCAATAAGAATTAAGAGTCCTACTGGTAATTATTACAGAGAGGACTTTTGACTAGGGTTACATGTACATTTGATTGTGTTTCCAGTCATTTTTAATGACGGACTCATTAACAGACCAAGAATCACTGGAGCTCTGTCGTTATAAAATGTTACTGTCTGTGGCTCAGGAGTTTTAATCGCCACAAACAGCATGTGTATTTTAATACCACAATAAACCAAGTGATGAATGAACACATAATCTGGCCTTCTTATTGACCTTTACATTGTCCTGTGTGTTCAGCTGGTGTGACTCAACTTGACTGTCGTGTGTTTGTGTCACCAGCAGACAGACGTGTCGATGCTGGAGCCGCAGAAATCTCACAGGAAGTCTAAAAAACGGACCAAGACCTCCACTGAGACAACGGAGCCTCCAACCATGAACAAGAAAGGTGCTTCACTCTCCAGTTCAGCCAGAAAACACAGATTCTGAACTTGTTATTGAGACAACAATGAGTCCTGACTCAATTATTTTAATTATTGATGAATGTTATTATGAATGTTATTCTGATCATTATATTGTGTGCTCATTAAGGTTATTTGTTTGATTGATCACTCCACTATGTTGTATTACATAGCCATTTTTTCTGATGAATTATTTCCCAGCGAAATCAAAGTCACTGGAGCTGCAGTATCCCACTCTGAAGTTTGAAGACGTAGGAGGAAACGAGGACACGTTAACGGTTAGTATCTGTTAACCTGCTGCTGTGTTTGTTGCTCTCTCAAATTTACTTCTATGGTAAAATGGGGGATGGCTGCGGTGTGGAGCATATTATCCATTTGTATTGTAATTCTCACTCTACAGGAAGTGTGTAAGCTGCTGGTTCACATGCGTCATCCAGAGGTGTACCAACATCTGGGAATGGTTCCTCCGAGGGGCTTCCTCCTCCATGGGCCTCCTGGCTGTGGGAAGACCCTGTTGGCCCAGGCTGTGGCTGGTGTGAGTACCTGACTGACGACACCTGTTTTCCTCATAGGGCCGCACCATATAGACGAAATGTCATACCTCCCATATTTATGCCAAATATCTCGATGACTGTGGGTTCATACTTGAACTTTTAAGTGCAGCAACGGTGAAAATGAAGCATTCTTCAAAAGACAACACAATAATACCAAACAGACGTAGAAAACACTTCACCAAACATGTTATTGAGCTGAAAAGACCAATCACTGTCTGAGGCTGCATTCAAATAGATTTTAAAAATGAATAATTTCCAAATAACAGAGGAGGATTTCTTTTTCACACTTCTCTGTCGCTGAGTTCTCACTGTTTTCTCACAGTGTTGCAAGGCTCCATTAGATGACTCAATCAGAGTACTGGATTCTAAATACATATGATTACTTCAACATCAGTGTTGTGCATGCCACTAATGAACATGGACGTCGTTCACTCTGGGGAGAGCATGCACCTGGTGTCCAGGCTGGCAATACAGCAACACAAACAGCTCAGCTGCCGCTGCTGCTGAAGTTAGTTCATATGAATATTTGAAAGGCTTTTATGAACAAATCGTGTAGATTCAAAAAAAATCTCTCACAGACCAAGAACCAACAGCCACGAAGTTCCTCCACCTGAGTCAAACTCACATAAAACATATACTCACATTGGGTTTTCTTGGATTTTAAAGGCAACCTCTGTCTGTGACTCTATAGTAGTTTACAACAATTCATTAGTTTGTGCAGTGGCAGTGAGTGGGGGCTGAGGATGGATGGTAGGAGGAGGATCTGCTGAAAAATCATTTAAAATAACAGGAGAAATGAACGTGAACTAGTTGATTTAAATGTTTCTGCAACAGTATGAACGTGACATTCACACAAATACTGCTGCTCAAGTAGACCATTACGCAGCTGTCTTCTTCTACTGTCTGAACACACTGAGTCGCTCTGAATGTATATGAACACTTGGCTCATCCTTTTGTGCTATTAACATACAATAGATGTTCAATACACATGTTCACATCTAGATAATGACACGATGACCTTGTACATGAACCTGTGAAAACAGGTTACATTGATCCGATTATTATTGGTTTTCTTTGATTGTTGGAAGTATTGTGGTTTATCTAGCACAAGGTGAGGAGACGAGCTGCGGAGAATGAAACCTTTAACGTCAGAGTTTGGTTCATGTTCATTCAGACTTTTGTATTTTGGTCAAAGCAACAGGTTTGTTTGTATTTTATGTGCTTGTTAGATAAAGTGATGGTTTTGTGTTCCAGGAGCTGGAGCTGCCCATGCTGAAGGTGTCTGCTCCGGAGCTGGTGTCTGGAGTGTCGGGGGAGTCTGAACAGAAGCTCAGAGAGCTGTTTGACTTGGCTGTGGTCAGTAGAGCAAAGACATTTAAATGCTTTCGCTGATAATACGATACATAATGTTGACCGTCATTGGTTCTTCTCCCCCTGCAGAGCTCTGCCCCCTGTATCCTGTTCATAGATGAGATAGATGCCATCACCCCAAAGAGGGAGGTGGCCTCTAAAGACATGGAGAGGAGGATTGTGGCCCAGCTGCTGACCTGCATGGACGGTACGATGCTCTCGCTTCAGAGGAAAAGCAGGCTCGCATTAAAGTCTTGCTGCTGTTTTAGTATATTAGTAACTGCGAGCAGACATTGGCCAATCAGCAGAGGTCACACTGACGGAGGACCACTTACTATTGAGTCACTGCAGTGTACAGTGCATGGGTTTTGTCAATGTCTGACTTTATAGGAACCCTCCATGTTATTCCTCCATTAATGTTTAAATCTTTATAAACAAATGATGAGAAAAACAAATATGTATTATCCAAAATTTTTATCATAGATTTCTTCTTTGCATGAATCAGTCACAGGAAGTGTTTAATAGTTACTGGATCATAACTGAATGAAAACACACACACACACACACACACACACACACACACACACACACACACACACACACACACACACACACACGCACGCAGCCTGATAGCCTCACTGTCACTCAGCCCACACCTGATACCATTAACTGGACCGGCTGAGGAGCTGGAGGATGACAGTATGACATGATAAGCAAAAGGTGAAGCATGAGTTCACAGGACTTCAGCAGATGAAAGATGATGTATTTTTCTTTCTTTTTTTTTTTCTTTTTCATGTTCTTCTGTCGCTTGCCTCCTGGCAGACTTGAACAGCTTGACAGTGACAGCTCAGGTCCTGGTCATCGGTGCCACTAACAGGCCGGACTCCCTGGACCCTGCTCTCCGCAGAGCTGGACGCTTTGACAGAGAGATCTGCCTGGGTATCCCTGATGAAGCAGCTCGTCTCAGGTCAGCCGGACACGATCATAGAGGAATGATAATACACATGCTGAATATTGTACTCATGATTATTTATTGATAGTTTATTAGTCTCTTGTACTTGCTGGTTTGGTCATGGAGAAAAGCTGTGAGTGACGGTAGTTTCAGTCTGGACACAAATAAACCCCCCTGTACAAGTTACAGTTGAACACATTCATACAACTTAAGTCTGCACACATAATCACAAATTAAACCACAACAATGTGACACTAAGCCGATGAAGACTAGAATACCTTGTTTTTTTCTTTGGGCAAAATCAGTTCTTGTGCTTTAAAACGCCCCCAGTCTTCAATTCAGAGAACACAGTGTTTTTTATTTCATGGCAGTATCCAGATAACAATAGCAAAACAACATGCTAGCTGCTGGTTGGTTTGCAGTCAGGTTAGCATGCTAATACTGTGTAGTGTTCCTACATTCAGCTGCTGCTAAGTACCAGAGAAAGTTTCACACATTCAGAGGGAAAGTCAATCTGAACACTAAATGACTGAAACCTCTCAGATATCATCTGTGGTCACTGCTTTTGAGACGTCATTTTTTCTGACTTTTGGTCAAATGTCCACTGACCAGAGATCAGGTCTCACAACCTTAGTCCTAACAATACAGTAGTAGTTGGAAATGGCAAACTGATTCTCTATCAGAAGATCAACCAGCATTAGTCCCTTATTGTGTTGATGAATTTGAACCACTACCTATCATATCTGGGGTGGCCTCAGGGGTGGCCAATGAGATTTCAGGGATTGCCCTGGCCACCCTTGAAAATCGCCACAGGTGCAAAAATGATTACAACTTAGGCGTTTACCAAATGATCACAGTGTCTTAACACAACACTTTGTGCTTTGTCAGGATCTTGAAGACGTTGTGTCGAAAGCTGAAGCTGCTGGAGGACTTTGACTACCAGCAGCTGGCCCGCCTCACCCCAGGCTATGTGGGCGCTGACCTCATGGCCTTGTGCCGCGAAGCCGTCATGAATGCTGTAAACAGGGTTCTGATGAAAATAAGAGGAGCTCCACAGAGCCAGAGCCAAAGCTCTACTGAAGAGCTGTTAACGAGCAGCGCTCAGACTGAGGCTGCTGGGACAGACGGAGACGTCGGAGAGCAACAGACAAAAGATGTCAACCCTGCGCCTCAGGAAGAGTCAGGACAGAGTCTCCTGCAGGTATGAGGAGCTTCAGCAACACATCTCACAAAGTCTACTCACTATCATAATGTACCGCGGCAACAGATGACCTCTGATTAGTTGATCCGATAACAATCTGACAGATGAAACATAAAGGTCAGTCCTGAACACATCAGGAAACTATGAATCTCATGAAAATGAGTAAAATTGAAGGATGATGTTGTGCCTGTGCGCAGTACACAGGCAGTGATACAAATCTAACTTAATGTTAGCTAGTTAAATCTACCTTTATCTCTCCTCTCTTTATTTTTCTATTCTTCCTCTCTCCCTCTCGTTTCAGCCAAGTGTTGCCGCACGTCTCCACTACGACAGAGTATTGGGGCCACATTGGGGAAAAAATAGAAATCTGAAACTTCAAGAATAAAATCATATTTCAAGCAAAAAAGTTGTAATATTACAGGATTAAACTCATAATATAACAAGAAAAAAACACAATTTTTAGGAATATTACATCAACCAACCAAACAGGTGAAAGGACAGTCAGTGGCAGTCTGAGCTGCTTCTGGCAGCTGCTGTTTGTCTGTCTAACAATAGAATAGACTCAGTTTCCTCACAATCCTTGTAATGTCCTGATGATGATGATGATGAGCTGAAAGTATCTCCTTATTAGTGAAACCTCCTGCTAAAGTAGAAACTTCACAGGATGCTCCACATTCCTCATTTTAAAGTTTCTGATTTTTCCCCTCTAAAACAACTTTATTCTCATAATGTTATGACTTTTTTTCTTGTAAAATTACGTCTTTATTCTCGAAATTTCACATATTTTTTTCCTCTATGTGGCACTAGCACTCCATTGTACCTCCTGTATCAGTTGTTTCAAATTAAAATCCCTCTGCAGAGTGGTATAAAACATTTATTCAGGAAACAGTTAGTTTGAGCAATTTCCAGTTCTGAGTTTTGAATTTTGCTGATGAGGCCTGTAAATTACATTCCTCTGTTGTTCTGGTTCATTGTGTGCTGTGTGTCCAGCAGGGGGAGCTGTATCACCTCCTGTACCTGCTGAAGAATGCTGAGACCCTGTCAGGGGAAGAGCTGGCCGGCCTGTCCATCCTCATGTCAGACTTCCAGGCCTCTCTGGCCAGTGTGCAGCCCTCAGCCAAGAGGGAGGGCTTTGCCACCGTGCCTGATGTCACCTGGGAGAATGTGGGAGCCCTGCAGGACATCAGAGAGGAGCTCACCATGGCCATACTGGTAAACACCAGGTTTCTTCACAGTTTAGCTGTTGTCATGCTGTGCTTTTAAATTGAAGAATGTATCCTTCAATTTAAAAGCACAGCATGACAACAGCTAAACTGAGATCCTGAGATGAGGCTTCTCATGTTCATATCTTTTGTCATACAGTAGGCCTCTCTCACCTGCTTTACAGACTGTAGTCATAGGCAGAGTGTGAATTATACAGTGACAATCAGGGGGGTGAACTATTTCTCTAGGGTGAAATGGAACCCAGTCCAGAGCAGGCACATGCGCCAGTGAGCTGAGGTGTTGGGCACACATGTATTTTAATATTGTTCAATGACCCAACAGGTAAAATTCCTGAGTGAAAACAAAGAGGGTGTCTATTATAGAAGCTAATGTTAAAGGTAAAAGACTAAACCACCACAGCCGCACAAAAGGCCATTAACATGAAATAATAAACTCTATACTGATGCCTGCTCATGACTGAGCACCAGTTTTTGCTAACATTAGACCATATATGATGTTTTATATTGGTAATGAAATGACAACACTGGTCAGCTAACATTCCAAACTGCTAAACTGTAACTTTGGGCCAAAGTTAGAAACCAGCTAACATTAGCATTCATCTGTAGATACTTGAGTCTAATTAAGAAAATCTGAAGGTAAGAAAGTAGCTACTGCTACTATCGAGCTACTATTGCTACTACTGGGGGTCAAACTCCTCCAATCTGCCACCATAATTCAATCCCTGGTCACAGGGGTGGAGGTGTGGGTGTTCATCTTTCCATCTTGTTAAGTGTGAGTCAGTCACCTTGTACTTAGTGCGACCTGTTCAGTGTCACATATGAGGCCAAAGTCTGGGGCAGAGAGCTCTCTGTTCTGTGGCCACATGTTATTCAGGATCAGCCACAGGTTTTTAGGTGCTGACAGTTTGTCCAGAGATTGTTCAAGTAAGTTTTCTCCACAGTTTACTGGATACAAATCACCGTGACTGTGACGACATCCACAGGTACAAGATGTACAGACTGGGTTGGTGTTTGACCTGGTTCACTCTCACTGTGCTTATTTTGCCTGTTAGCATAGAATAACACAGCTGTGTCTGTCTGTCTGTGTGTGTGTGTGTGTCTGTCTGTCTGTCTGTCTGTCTGTGTGTGTCTTTGTGTGTGTCTGTGTGTGTATCTGTGTGTGTCTGTCTGTGTGTGTCTTTGTGTGTATCTGTGTCTGTCTGTGTATCTGTGTGTCTGTCTGTGTGTGTGTGTGTGTCTGTCTGTGTGTGTGTGTCTGTCTGTGTGTGTGTGTGTCTGTGTGTGTGTGTCTGTGTGTGTGTCTGTGTGTGTGTCTGTGTGTGTGTCTGTGTGTGTGTCTGTGTGTGTGTCTGTGTGTGTGTCTGTGTGTGTGTCTGTGTGTGTGTCTGTGTGTGTGTCTGTGTGTGTGTCTGTGTGTGTGTCTGTGTGTGTGTCTGTGTGTGTGTCTGTGTGTGTGTCTGTGTGTGTGTCTGTGTGTGTGTCTGTGTGTGTGTCTGTGTGTGTGTGTCTGTGTGTGTCTGTGTGTGTCTGTGTGTGTGTGTCTGTGTGTGTGTCTGTGTGTGTGTCTGTGTGTGTCTGTTCCCTAGGCTCCAGTGCGCTCTCCAGAGCAGTTCAGAGCTCTGGGGCTCAGCGCTCCTGCTGGAGTGCTGCTGGCCGGACCTCCAGGATGTGGGAAAACGCTGCTTGCCAAGGTTCCTCCCCACACCCACACCAACACAATCACACCTGATACCCGTTAGCTGAGTGACACAACACTGTCATCTCTCAGAACAGTTCCTCTTTGTTTGACGCCTCTGTTTGAACAGTTAATATGATTTACAATATCCAGTGTTCTGTAATTGTTGATCAGCTTGCTGAAATAGTGATTAGTAATGACCAATTTAGTCTGATTTCTTATGGCTAATCTTTAAGATTAGTTCTTTGAGAGTCATTTTTTACTGAGTCATGTCTCTGTGGTGCGTCCCAGTTGTAGCTGTGACCCTGAACATTAGACTTGGACTAGAGGAGCTCCTCTGAGAGCTGAGAGCAGGACTTCAGTTATTCATGAAGATGATTCACAACGATGAATATTGAGCAGACACACAGTCAAGTATCACTGATGCATAGCCAGATATATATGTTGGAACTGTGTTATCATAGGCATAGTTTAACCTTTTGGGAAATACAGTTATTTGCTTTCTTTCTGAGAGAGAGATGAGATGATCAGTATTAAGGTCATGTCAGGATGTGTTAACCTAGCTTAGCATAAAGACAAGAAGCAGGGGGAAACAGCTCGCCTGGCTCTGTCCCGCATTCAAAAATATACCTACCATCAACTCACTGATGAACATGATCTGTCTCGTCCATTTAATCTGTTCACAAACAGACATGTAAAAATGGCGAGTTGTGATTCCAGGGGGAGTTGGGTGCTTCTTGCTGAGCAGCTGCTGCAGTCTGTGTGCAGCGTCCTGAGGTTTGTCATCACACTGAGGTTGTCATGGCTGAACAGAGCCCAAGAGTAAGAAAATACCACAATCTGTGGTAAGTGGTGTGACATCACCAAAAGTGTCCTTTTGCCTCGAGGTTCTAGTGGTTCAAGAACTCTCTGACCAACTAACACTGGTACGTAACCAGATACAGGAAACACAAGACGAGTCAAGAAGGACTTCTTGAACAAAGGAAACCTTAAAGAACTATTTACAGAATGTGATAAGTTCAAAGGAAAACTAGAGTCTTAGATCAGGTCAATCAAAAAGAACGAGTTTGAATGGGATGCAGAGGAGTACAAGGGAAGCCCCCACACCCTGTTTGAACAGACCCAAAAACCTGTGCTCACCAGCTGATTCTGGCTACCTGCGCTGCAGCTGGAGATAGACGTGCTCCCTGCAAAGAAATAGTTCCAGCACGTTTTGACAAAATATTCTTCCCTCCTGGAAGATCCCTGCATGTTTGTCCTGTCATTGTCCATGTTCAGTCAACCCTGCAGGACACAGAATCACCTTCCAGGTTAAGAAATTTGATGAAATGTATTTGTTCAGGGAGATCCATGTAAGTTTAGACCCACATGTCACCTGAGTGAAGCTCCTCATTGTCTCACTGTCTCTCACTGTCTCCTGACAGGCAGTGGCCAATGAGTCAGGCCTCAACTTCATCTCTGTTAAGGGACCAGAGCTGCTCAACATGGTGAGTCATTGTTGTGTTGTTGTGGCACTGAATCATAGAATCAGCTGGTTGCACTGACTGATGAATATCTGTGTGTGTGTGTGTGTGTGTGTGTGTGTGTGTGTGTGCAGTATGTGGGAGAGAGCGAGCGAGCTGTCAGACAGGTCTTCCAGAGAGGACGCAACTCAGCTCCATGTGTCATCTTCTTTGATGAGATTGATGCTCTGTGTCCTCGCCGCTCAGGCCACGAGGTGAGAGAGCCAAGACGTCAGGTTCTACAGTGCAACACACACCAGCAACACACACCAGCGCCAAGTGGGGTGTCCTGTCAGTTGACCCCCCCCATTGTTACTACACCGTATGCTCCACTCAGGCATAAAAACTGGTTTCAACATATTTTAACATCTTGAACACTGATTTTCAAGCATCTTTTTAAAAACATTTTTATCGTCTTTATCTTTACTTTTTAAACACCTTTAGAACACAATTCCACATCATACATTGTAAGTCAAATAATTATTGAACACATCAAAGTAAGTCGGACACCACTTTCCCATCCCAATGACACAAGTGAGTGGAAAGTGGTCTCGGAGTTTTGGACCCCTCTGTATTTATCTGGGTGTTGGTCGTGTACAGTAACATTTCCATTTAACCGTCCGACTGACCATCGCCATTACAGGTGAGTTTTACCAAGCTACAGAGATAGGCTACAATCAAAGATCCTCAATAACAAAAGATGACTCATTACAATCAGCGCCAATGGTAAGAAATGGTAAACACTTCCTGTCTCCTAGTAGGGCGTGGTCGTGATTGCTCGTTCATGTCAAAAAAAAAAACAACAGCTGATACAGTTTGAATTTACGCCAGATTTTGCTGTTTGTTTTTATCTGCTAGTTTATATCAACCCAGAACAAGATCATATCAGTACGATACTCCTGTTTTCCCTCCAAAACAGTTCAATAATCATAACAGTATTAATATTATTAAGCAAAGAAACACAGGTTTTATTCAAGTTTTAATTCATGGTTGCACGTATAGGTCCCTCTAAGCTTCTGTGGATAGAAAGCGATCGCAGGACTCCTGCAGCCGTGAAACCAGCGGCTCAAACGGCTCGTTTCTGTCGTGACCCGGTGATACACAGTTATGCACTGTGTGTATGAACAGCGTTTGTGTGTGTTCAGTCAGGAGCTAGCGTGCGGGTGGTCAACCAGCTGCTCACAGAGATGGACGGCTTGGAGACTCGACGGCAGGTCTTCATCATGGCTGCAACCAACAGACCAGGTACAGATCCAGGTTCAGTCAGACCTGAACCCCTTCAGGGAAACTAGAGACCTGCTGAAGCCTCCAGGTTCTTTTTTAGGGACACTGTTCATCAGAGGGGGAAAGAAACCTAGTATATTTACACAAGTACAAGTACAATTTAGATGTACCTGTACTTAATCTGAGTATTTGCATTTTATGCTGAATTATACTTTGTTAACTTTTCAGATATTATTTGAATTTACTAAACATTAAAGATTAAAACAGTGGTTCTAAACCTTTTTGTGTTGTGACCTTTTTAAAAAAGAAACAGTGTGTAGTTGTTCCTACAATAATGGGATGACATTTTCCAAGATCCCTTCAACACAGTAAATATGAGAGAAAAGGAAAACAAAAATATCCTCTTTTTTTCTCCCATTCATCATCTGACGACCCCCTCAGATTTATCTGGTTGGTTACCACCGGATTGAACTAGTTAACTGTATATAAATGTATTTAAACTAGCTCTACCTCCAGCAGCTGCAGCAGTAACATGCTGCTCATACAGTGATGCATCACTACTAACAATTTAATGTTATCATAATTCTATAATATCAGTCACTGGGGAGGTTTGTACTTTGACTTTTGATTCATTAAGTTGATTTTTTATTTTTTTTCAACCCTAACCGTAATGGACAGGATCTAAAAATGTCCTCCACTACTTTTCAACGTGTATTGAGGTTTTTCACTGTTGTCCCTCTCAACACTGAATGGCTGTCATTGTCTTGTCTCTTTCAGACATCATTGACCCTGCCATACTGAGGCCGGGTCGTCTAGATAAAACCTTATATGTGGGTCTGCCGCCTCCAGCAGATCGCCACGCCATCCTGCTCACTGTTACTAAGGTACGTGTTCACCACAGACGCCAGAGAGGCCCCTCAGTCAGAGAAGACTAGTAAAATAAAGTCTTATCTTATTTAGACAGGTATTATTATGCTTCTGCGCTGGTGACAGCCAGAGCCAGGAACAGCTGTATATACTCTTGATATAGTGAAAATAGTAATACCCATAGGTAATGGCGTTATCAGTAATAATACAATAATGCTGCTTCTTTGAACCACTTTTCTTTAAACAAGACAAGACAAGTCTTCAGTGACGTCTGTGTCTGTGGATCAGCCTCCTTTTACATCATCACTGTCACTTCAGAACAGTTTCTATGGGAGTAACTGAGGAGACTTGAACCAGATCGCACCACCAGATTATTTAACAGTGATTTGATTGACATTCATGCAGCAGTTAATCCTGACACTGGCTGCCAGGAAACAGTTGATGGATATTGATGATGGTTGCAGGGGGGGACCAAACCTCAGCTGGAGCAGGATGTCAGTCTGGAAGAGATCGCCTTCGACGAGCGCTGCGACTGCTTCACGTATGTGTACACACACACACACACACACACACACACACACACACACACACACACACACACACACACACACACACACACCGATGACATTCATACTGTTTGTCCTGCTTTCAGTCTGAACAGTGCACTTGCTTAAACACTGCTCCCTAAATGTGATGGACAGAGTCTAAATGTGTATTTGTGTGTGTGTGTTTGATCCAGTGGAGCTGACCTGACTGCGTTAGTGAGGGAAGCATCTGTCAACGCCCTGAGGGCCCATCTCAAGTCCCAGAGTTCTCCAGCTGCTTCCTCTGGTAACTTGACTCCCACCTCTACAAACCTGTTCAGCAGTTAGTGTTTAAAGACGGAGCTGTGAGGCCAGGTGGGGCTGGAAGTGTTGATTGGAAAGATCCACGTGGCTCTGCTGGTGTTATAGACACGCTTTGAATATAATGGTGTTAATTTAACAGAATTCATTTTAGGGGTGGGCGATGTATATAAAATACACTTGTTATATCACAGCTTGTTCCACATGGGATGCTGGTTAAAAACAATTGTATATATATATATATATATATTTTTTTTTTTTTTTCATGTCTGTGTCATATTCATAAAAAGTCCAGGCATTGAAACTATGGGCTAGTGAAAGGTGTCAGTTATATATAATGTTGCTGGTATCATATCAGTGTGACTATCGAGAAATGTTTATGGAAATGTCTGGGAGCCGCTCGTCACGAGTGGAAAACAGGCGAGATGCCAAATCTCTAGATCACACAAAACAGCAGCGCAGCATGAGAGTGTGTCTCATATTCATTTTAAGTCCAGACAGTGAAACTATAGGCTAGAGAAAGGTGCCAGTTACATATACAGTATAATGCTGCTGCTATCTTATCAGTATGACCATCAACGAAGGTCCCCCTGTCTATTTTGTGCTGGAAGCCGCTCATCACGAGTGACAAACAGGCTGAATGCTGAATCCCTAGATCACACGAAACAGCAGCGAAGCATGACAGTGTCTCTTTATGCATCAAAGGGTTAAATCATCATTTATGAAGTTCTATAGAGGAGATTTTACAATATCGTCATATATATCGTGTGTCGCGATGTTGCCTAGAAATATGGTGATCTTACTCACAGGCCGTATCGCCCAGCAATTCACTTCTGGTTTATAAACTTTTTATGCTTCTGTGCCGGTGACAGTCAGAGCTGGAGGTTGATTGACATTCATTCGGACTCGAGGATGAACTTCTTCTTCAACTCTGATCTTGATTATCATGTTAATAAATTGGTACAATCCTGTTTGCAGATAATTCAGATCAGGGCTGTGGTCAAGACCCCTCAAGTCTAAAGCAGTTTCAAGGTCTAGTCGAAGCCAAATCCACATTAGGGTCCAGCCCAAGTTAAGACCAGCGGAGTCAGCTGAGATATAACTCGGGTAGAAATATTCCTGTTAACCATCAGGTCTGATAACTCTGCACATGTGTGCATATAAATGCTAAAAGGGTAATGTTTTTGAATTGGTTGTCACTGGAACAAAGACGTGATGATACATGTTACCCTCAGGAGTGAGCGTGATGTTAAAGAACAGCAGCTCTCTGTCTGAAACTGCATTTACTTCCTTGCTCTGACTTGCAGAAGAACAGCAGGATTCACAGCGTTTAACATGTTGGAAAATAGTAACTGCAGAAACCTTTCCATGACATGAATCCTCATAAACCTGACAGGACCGTGTCTGGTGCTGAGGTGACATCATTCTGCTCTTTGATGTAAATGTGTTCTTTGTTCTTCACACACAGGTCACACGTGCTCCTCCAGCTCCGTCACCGACATCAGAGTCAGCAAACACAACTTTGAGGATGCCTTCAAGAGAGTTCGTCCATCCGTGTCCAAAAAGGTGAGAAAGTGTGAACAGTGACACGTCACTATTGTAATTGTTTTCTTTAGGTTTTTACATCTAATCTGCTTTTCGTGCCTCGTTCTAAATGTCTCATTTGTCGATGCTGTTTCTGTGAGGTTTCCTACACACACACACACACACACACAAACACACACACACACAAAGTTAAGACACAACACCACCATACAACTGTGATGAGCCTCCTACCACATGCATTTCAAACTAACCGGCCTGATAAACAACAGCAGCTGAATAACAGGCTACAATATACTGTCATATTCTGTATTGAATATCCAACAGTCAGCATGAAGCAGCACATCGTGAGAACAGTTGTCTAACTAACTACTAAAGACAGAAATAACGATACACAACATCAATATATTATATTTATAGAAAGTACAAAATAATTTTATATAATTAGACTTTATGAATTGTATTTTTTTCACTACCTTACTTAAAAAATATAAACATGTTTCTACAAAACCACAATCAGAGAAGAATTTATACCTAAATAGAAGTTTAAAACTTAAAAAATGTTGAATTGATTTAAATCAGAATTTGATGTTGATTTGATGAAGTTTAAGTTCATGAGACATTTCATACCAGACTTGCCTCACTATGATGGAGCCACTTGTTAATAGAGCAGTTGCGTGTGTTATTTTGTTGTACAGTGTCCGTCGCTCTGGCAGCTCTCCAGATGCTGCAGATAAATGACTGTAGACGGCTCGGTGCTGCACTGTCTCTCAGATCACTGTCCCACAATCTCCCTGCTATCAGGTAGCCAGGAGAACCAGTCCGACTCGTCCCACAATGTGACATTAAACTGTCTGCCGCTCTACCAACAATTCCTTCTGTCTGGCACTAATCCTTTACGCCACGGTGCTTCCTCACCTGTGACAGTCAGTCAGCTGTCGTGTGTTGTGAGGGTGAGAGCGGCTCAGCTTCCTCTTGTGTGTGAAAACCTGCAACATGCAGTGAGTGTTTGCTTGTGTTTCCTGTGCAGGACCAGAGGATGTACGAGCAGCTCAGAGAATCCCTCAGCAGATGACCGAGACCAGAACCACCATCCACCAGTTTATAGTCATATGTCATGTATTTATACACATTTTACTCTGGATGAATCACGGTGCTGCTTCTGCTTTTGTAATAAAAGGTGAGAGTAGAAACAAACACATGTGGCATGTTCTCTGATAGAAGATGTTATCAGAACAGCTACTGTTGTGCTATCAGGCTCAGTGTGACCTCACACTCCTCTCCACTCAGCCTCTGTGAGACTGCATGTAACTGATATCTGGAGTGTATATACACTGCATTTTATTGCTGCTCTTCATCACACACAGATTGTTTCTGTTCAGTTTGTCACTGTCAACATCCAACATGCATCTCCCAAGGCTCGACAACGAGCAGCATTACACACTGTATAAACCTTGTTTGCCGCAGTGACAGAGGCTGCTAATACACAAGGAGCACAAACACCCAGGTGTCATTTCCTTATTGTCCTGACAGATTCAACTGGATGTTTGTATTGGCATCACATCTGTAAGCTTTTCAAATCTGTCCTGAGACACTCAACTGACTCATCACACATCATGAGACAGGAACTGTTCTGTTCTAAGGTGTTGAATTACTGTATTCATAATAATGATAATCTTTATTCATAGAGAATTTTTCAAAAACTACATTATGAAGTGCTTGACAAAGATGGTGAAAAAAGAATCGATAGATTTCAAAGAAGAAAAACAGATAAAATCAGGTGTATAAAAACCAAAACAGTCATTTTAAGAAAAATAAAACAATTCAAGGGGAAAGTAAAACCAGGAAAAGCTCTGTGATAAAAGTATGTTTTAAGAAAAGTCTTAAAGGACGTGGAGGCGTGATGAGATGAAGGTCTGTAAAACAGTCTGTGTCTTTAAAAGTTAAAAAAAAGATCTTATTTTAGAAATATTTCTAAGATGATGAAAACATGATTGTACAAGCTTTGTGACGATGCTGCTCAGAACTGACATTACTGTCGAACCATATGGTGAGATCTTTTGTAACAGGCTTGATATGATCTGACAGGGAACCAGCACATGGCAGATTTTGTTTTAACATGGGCTGGAACCCAATAACAAGAATGTTAGTTTTGTCTGAGGTCAGCTGAAGGAAATGATTTCACATTCAGAGAACATAGCACTCGGGTCAGTGGGTCTAACCGGCAGGTACAGTTGTATGTCATCTTGTCATCAAGAGACACCACGTGTCTAGGGGAAGCATGTATAAGCAGAATAAAATCGGTCCTGGCGGGACTCCATACTTCACAGAATTTCCTATTTGACAGATGAGATAAAGCTGAGCCTGATCATATGCCCTCAGTCCGTCTAACAGGCTGCTGGCGTCAGCTGTGTCAAAGGCTGTGCTGAGGTCCAGGAGTACAAGTACTGAGCACATGCCATCATCAGCAGCCATTAAAAGAAAGTTGGTGACTTTGCCCATGACATTTGGGCAACTGGGTTTACAACATAAATGCAGCCCGTGTTTGCTTCATCATTGTGTAACTTACACTGCTTTTCTAATGCTGCTACAAATGTGGGTCAGAATGTGTTGAAACCAAGCTGCAGCATTATTCTTTTATTTCATTAGTGAAAAAGTGTAACAACAAACATAAAAATGACCCACATATAAGATGACGCAGTAGACAGGTGTCATATTACTGCAGCATTTTTCAGCCTGCGACAGGAACGCTGGGACATGTACTGACCTGCAGGTGTTAGTTACACTGCAGCACACAGGTGATTAAAACCCCTGCTAATTACACCTAATGTGACCCAGGTGGTTTACCTCTGTGCCAGAATCCTTATTCATGAGGCAACATTCATATTACAGTCTTATCATGCACAAATCCCCAGTATGAACCACACTGTGTGGCCTGAGAGATCAGGGCCCGAGGACTGGGATGAAGACCAACAGTCCTGTATTAATGCAGCCTGTCCCTGTGAGTTGAAGGTGATTCAGCTCTGTGGTCATGACGGCTGCAGTCTGCTGGACTGGGATGCATTATATAGGTGTTCTCGCTCCTTCTGTGTTTGTGTGTGAATCAGGTCAAATATCAGAAACTTCAATCAAATTCAGTCAAGTGGAAAAACAACACACTGCAGCATCATAACACGTGAACAGCTGATGAGACAATCTCCACTCAAGATCCACTTACTCGCAGCTGCAGCTTTCGACTATATCACACTGTGACTGTTCTCACGGCCAAGAATAAACTGTCAGTTAAAAACTCAGTTTAAACTCAGAATAAACTGACAGTTTGTGAAACAAAAAAAAAAGAAAGGCCTGTGTAGTAACTATGTTGATGGGTGGATGCTGCAGTCTTACTGCGCTGGTAGCTGTCATCTGACATGAGAGACCCTTGAGCCATCCCTCAGTGATTGTTGCACCATGATGTTACAACTACCCATCATCCCACTGGTCTGCTGTAAGACCTCCTCGAACATAATTACAGACCTGAATGACCCTGATATCATGCTACACAGTACTACCATCATGTTGGTGCTGTTGAACTGGGACTCGTCAGACAACCTTCATCCAGGTACTGGAGACCATGTGTTTTAGCCCTCTGCCGTCACTCTCAGCAGGTTACCATGAACCGGAGACGTGCACTGTGAGGTTGGCTGCAACACCATGGACAGAAAGGAGTGTGTCGCACGGTGTTATGAAGAAGATGTTCTTTATGGATAAGAACAGGAAAATGAATAGAAAGGTCTTCAGTTTTGTTTTAGAGAAGCAGCGTTTTAATATTTCAGCATGAATGTCAACAATCCAACTGAAAACAGAGGTTAGAACTATTTTGGATGAGTTCAATTGGAGTTCTGTGACTCAGCAGCAGCAGCAGCAGCAGCAGCAGCTGGGTCACACTGACCTGCTGCCTGTTACCAGACACCGATGACTGGGAGATGACTGGGGCAACAGGATCTGGTAATCTGATTGCTGCCACAGTGTGTCTCTGGTTCTGCCTGAGGTCTTGACATTTCAAGTGGTTAATGGGGTTTTTCAAATTAATGGCCCCAGAAACATTTTTTGTGCTTGTATCAACATTTGAAAGATTATTGCAGTTTTATACAACAGTTAGTTCCAACCAATTTGATTGGACGAGAGTCATATGAGTGCTGAAATAGAGTATAACAGCACTGGGACTTTTAACTACATGTATCTCCGCTTAACCATTAATTAGCCTTACATTAACGGTCGTTATCTATCTAAGATTGTAATGAACTTTGCAAAGATGAAAATATTTCCAGAAATAATATTTGGATTAAATCTGGTCTGTAAGTCTGGTCATCACAAGAGGATGAAGGAAGAAGCCTGGATACTTCACGCCTGAGGTAGATAGATAGATAGATAGATAGATAGATAGATAGATAGATAGATAGATAGATACTTTATTTATCCCCTCTGGGAAATTCATGTGTCCATTAGCTCATTGTTGATAATAATAATAATAATAATAATAATAATAATAATGATAATAATAAAAAAAACAGTTCATGATAAATAAATAATCAGATTAGTCCACTTCCTTTGGCTGAGGTGTTGGACTAATGATAAATGATGAAATATTTAACTAATATGGTGCTAGAACTGTTGTATAAAAGCAACATCTGAATCACAGCTGTGCTGATATTCAGTACGTCGCTCCCTCTCATGTGATATTGCTTAAATCTGCTGCAGTATCAGAATTCAGATCATTCCAGATCCAGGTTTCTTGGAACTTCTGAGGACTCAAATAAACTGGAGACTATTCAGAAACAGCTTCTGTTCTGCGGTTTTATTAAAGCAAAGACACTCAGACTGTTGTTCTGGAAAAAGAAAAGAAACACGTCACTCGAACAGCGGCTTTCCACATCAACAGTTTTTGCATGAAGAGGATAAGGTTTGAAAAAAATGGCAGAAGATTCCTTTTGCCTCTGGAAGAGACCAGAGAGAGGTTGAGACTGTCGATCAGAATATCAAACACCAGTCAAAGGAAAGGAGAGCTTGTGTTCAGATTCGTTCCACTGGTATTATGCTGAATTTGTATGTATTTCCTATATGTTGCTATTTCTTAACAATAAAGGCTGTAGTATTAAATTCATGGTGCTTCACAATAAAAACATTTGAAACGCGAATGGACTTCTGATCGCAGCTCAAGTCCTTAAAGTGCTCTGAAAAGGTTTCTGAAAAACTACGACCACTGGGCAATCCACCTGCTGAGGAAGATCATGTGATATGATCGAAAGCTTCAGAAGCTTGTTTTGTCAACTGCTGCTTCTGAGGTTAAAAATGAACTTTTCTTGGAGTGTTTGTTTCTACCTGAACTTCGTCTTCCTGCTGCTACATGACGCCTCAGAGGGAGACCTGGCAGACAGGCAGGGGAGGACCACTGATTAGCGACAGCGTTTTTATTTGCTGAGTGTTCCAAGGAAATTAGAGTGTGAGGCCTCTCCATTGCCAGGAATAGTGTTCTTATTGGAAATGGTTTTCATCCTACGACGGAGTATTAAGGCCACATTGAAGAAAAAAAAGAAATCCGAAATTACAACAAACTCATAATATTACAACAATGAAGTCGTAATATAACAAAAATTAAAAATGTGAAATTTTGAGAGAGAAAAAACATAATTCTTAGGAATGTTACAACAATCAAACAGGTGAAAGGACAGTGAGTGTCAGTCTGAGCTGCGTCTGGCAGCTGCTGTTTGTCTAACAATAGAACAGACTCAGTTTCCTCCCAATCGCTTCAATGTCCTGACGATGATGATGATGCTGATGGTGATGCGGAGCCATAAGATGAAGTATCTCCTTATTAGTGAAACCTCTGCTAAAGTAGAATCTCACAGGATGCTCCACATTCTTCATTTTAAAGCTTCTGATGTTTCATCTCTAAAACACTGAACCTACAATTACAACTTTATTATATCACTTTTTCTTGTAAATGTACAACTTTATTCTCATGACTTTTTTCTTGTAATATTATTTTATTCTCTAAATAATGACTATTCTCATAATATTACAAATTTATTATCAAAATTTCAGATTTTTTTCCCTCAATGTTTCCCCTAATACCCCGTCATATTATCCATAGTTTTTGTGGTGGCAACTTCCTTGATAATTCATGTTTTGCGCTGCACATTGTGCTTCTACCTGGAATGAAATGTGCTATATAAATAAAACTTTGCTTGTTTATTTATTCATTTATTTCATTGGCTTTAAAGTAGTCAAAGTTGATGACACTACATATTGAAGCAGTGGAATGAGCCAATTCCGCATCAACCACATGTAATTTGGTTCCAGGTTACTAAAGGCATTTCAAACGTAAAACACAGAGGACATGACTTCAGGTGCAGCTGCAGCTCCGCCTCTACAACCTGAAGCTGGAGGAGGTGAAAAAGATTTTGACAAACACTTTTTCACTTCTTGGCAGTTTCTCATTAAAGTGAATGAATTCTTCAAATTTAAATGAAGACCACAAAGACAGAAGTGAAGACAAAGCTGAGGCACTAATGAATAACACACTTTGATCTCACATGCAACACAACCTCAAAGTCTCCTGAGTGTCACACTCACAGGTCGTATCATGTCATGGTGCATTCGTGTGTCACGTTAGAAAGCAGACAGTTGAAAACAGGGTCATGGGCCACAAAAGGCAAATCTCTACATTTAAAATAGAAAGCAACTGATGCAAGCCTCCCCATCAACTCAATACATGAAGTATCAAACAGACATGACAGCTGTGTGTTGCAGCAATCAGTTTATATTGGGGGGATTTTAATGAGTGGATTCACTCACAGTCCAACTTTGGTCCACTTTGAGAGAGACATGCACGCATCCATACGCACGCACGCACGCACACACTCACGCTCACACTCACGCTCACACTCACGCTCACACTCACGCTCACACTCACACTCACAGTGTGCTGTCGACCAATAGCAAGTCCAAGATGGGAGGAAGGTAGTTGCCTGGGTTAATCTGTGGCAGAGCACGAACCGTAGAACACCTTTCACACGGTTTGCACTCAGTCACCAGACAGGAGTAAATGGTACTAAACCTGTGTGGGTTTATTGTTAGTTGGCTGTGTAGCTTCCTTATGATCGTTTCTGGGGCTGGATGCACAAAGACTTCTCAGACTGGTCTATGATGCTGTGTTGTTCTTACTGGTCCAATGCAACTGCTGACAAGTGGTTTCCTGCTGTTAGGCAGTGAGTAAAGACACCAACAAGAGGTTTTAGGATCCAGTAACACCTGGGAAAACTTTTTGGAGGTTTGTCTGTTCATGACCAAAGTCCTTTCAGAGAGCTGGAGAGAGAGAACCCTGGGGCTCTGAGCTAAATGCTAACAGTACACAGAGACGTTGAAGATAGACCCAGCATGTGAAGAGCTCTCACATGTCCAGTGAACATTAGCACAGCAGCTAGAATGGCAGCGGATCATCTGTAAATAAAACACAGCTGCCTTCAGTGGACATGTGGGGTTAGTTTTAAACCTAAGAACTGGAGAGATCACCAGAGCCAATTACAATTCATCCTGTGGGGAACAACAAATGTCATGGGCAACAGTCTTATTTCATTTAGAATACATGGCAAATTAGACGTCTATATTAAGTTGAACTAGGTCTTTGTGCAGCCAGTCCCAGATACAAACAAACTTTTTAATCTCACACCACTTGTCTTGGCTTTTCTGAACTGGATAACAACAGTCTGTGAAAATATTTCCTCCTCCTGTGAAGGACAAGCACACGTCAAGACTCCTGTACACAATCTCCACCCAGGTTTCACATGTTGAATGTATTAATCTGCAGAAGCTGTTAAGTTTATAGGGCGGTGAGGCAGCTGCTGTCACGGTGACGCTGCAGCTCTGATCCAGTGAAGCTTTCAGTGAAGTTACTCCTGTTTGACGTCTCCCTTCAGCTTCCTCTTGACTCGAGAGTACGGGCTCAATGCGTCGTCCATGATGAAGTCGTACAGAACCTTCACCCACGACGTGTACTGAGGCAGGTCATCGTAATACTCTGCTGCTATTTTCTTCACCTGGAAAACAAGAACACATAGCTTCACTTTCATTTCTGCTCCAGTGATACAGCAGTGATGTGGCTCTGATTGACCTGTGACTGATGGTGCAATCTGCCACCATTCAACACAATATACAGTCTTTTAGAGCAGCAGATTAACTGCAATAATCTTTCACAGGTGGATACAAGCAGCATAATTGGTGTGTTTATCCCTCTGGGGCTATTCACTTGAAAAATCCTGCCATTTCTTACCCACGAGACAGATTTCAATGATTTGGTAATGTAATCCTCTTTTAGACTATGAGGAAGTCAAATTCACAACTCTCACATTTCCTCAGAGCTTTATTTGTGCAGTGTCTAATATGTAATGTGAAAAATTCTGCATAAAACACAATGTATTTGAAAACCATTTATTATGAATGACTTGTCTTAACATTAGCTTGCTAGGCTTACTCGCTAGTGCTTGGGTAGTAAGCAAGCTTTTTAGTGAGTAACATTTTTGCTGAAATATACTTTCATTTCATTTTACAGTGTACTAAATTTCACCTTGTGCTGCTGTAGACTGGTCTTGGTTGGACCATGCTTTTACAGCTCCTGTCAGTCATTTCTAATCGCTGTTTTATAGTCTGTCTTATCTTTACTGCTGAAGACTTGAGTTTATTTTTCTGCCTTGATTATGTAAGACAGGCGCCAGGCAAATGTGAGGGAAAAATCTAATCAGGTCCAAAAGGTTCTCAGTCTTATTGTATGAAATAGAATCCATTATTCAAACCAAGTCCTTATTAATCTGCAGAGATAAGAATACAAAAATACACACATTTAACACTTATCATGTTAAACTTTAGTGTCAATAGTTTAGCATGTTGGCATGTTAACAATCTAATAACCAGGGAGTGCATCTTCACAGTCCTTACACACTTTCATTAAAAGAAGAAGACTGTAAGAATCAAGTATTGTTCACAACCCTGATCTACTTATTTAAAGAGAGTGAGGAGGCTCATGGTGAATAAATTATTTTCAGATGCACTATATGAAATCATGTCCTAAATAACTCATTATGTTGAGATAACAAATGATACACATTTTAGAACTGTTCTCACAAGATACTGATTTACTCAGTATGATCTCAATATCAAACACTTTCTGGTTATAACAACACAAAACTCCCTTTGTCTCAAGGTGATGAGACAAATCCCAGTCTTGTCATGTTTGTTGACTGACTGACTGACTGACTGTTTTAACTAAAAGGACCACAGAATAAGTTAACATTTCCTGTTCTCATATTATGTTTGAGAGAGGATTTAGTAAAGCTTCCTGCCGTGACAGATGTGCCTCCATCCAAACCTTTCTAACCACATGGAAATGCAGATGACATTGCAGCCTGATTGAAAAGTGCATCACCTGTGGCTAACAGTGATCTCCAGTCACTCGGGTGTACTCACCATGGGCAGCCTGCGTCCTGGGATGCTGGGAAAGTCGTGGTGCTCATTGTGGTAGCCCACGTTGAAGGTGAGAAGGTTGAGGGAGCCATAGTAAGAGTAGGTCTCATGACCCTTGAGGAACATGTAGTGCTCAGCTATGAAGTGACCAGAGATGGGGTGCAGACCCATCCCCAGCATGGAGCCAGCCAGCATGTAGACCACAGGCTTAGCCCCCCACAGCCAGTAGAGCAGGATGTCAAAGGTGAGCTGGAAGGCCACGTTGGTCAGCTCCAGCTGAGTGATGGGTTTGGGGTTGATGCAGAGTGGGCGGATGGCATAAAACAGCGGTTGCAGAATAATCCAGATGAATTTACGGAAGCGTGTGCAGAAGAACCAGCCTTCAAACTCAGTGGGGATGTCCACATCTACACCGTCTCCACCCAGGTAGCGATGATGGTCCAGGTGGTAGCGTTTGAAGGAGGCAGAGTAGGGCAGGCCGATGGGCAGGTTGGCAAACATGGCAAAGTAGCGGTTCCACATGGCCTTGCTGTTTCCAAAGGCCGTGTTGTGGGAAATCTCATGAATAGCAAGGGTCATTGAGTGGTTGATACAGCTGCCAAAGGCATAGGTCCAAAACAAAACCCATTTCCAGTCCAAGTCTTTGACCAGGTAGAAAGCTAAAAACTGTATCGCCACCATCATGCACACAATCCATTTCAGTCTCGGGTCAGGTCCCATCAGCGACTTGATTTCTGGATATTTGGCTGTAGAAACAAAACAAGAGACTAGAGTGAAATTCATTTCAGATTGATATACTGACAATTATCTAGTGGCACACATTTATATGAACGACTTCACCTTATGTTTATACTCAAAAATGTAAATGTAAAAACAGAGAAAGAGGTTGGTACAACAGTGATATTTAGATGAAAAGAAGCATTTCAATGTCAGTCAACTACTGATCTGTGTAGGGCCACAGCTACATGGCTGAGTGAGATATGTTCACTTGTTGATTTAGTTATTTGAACAGTGATGACAGTTTTTCTCAATTGCTTTGATGCAATCACACATCACAAACGTCATTCTCACAGTTAATCATTTCTCAAAAAACTAAATCACCTGTGCAAAAGTCACTAAAACAATGAAAATCTTGTTCATGTGTCGAAACATGCAAAGTCAGTCAGTCACTTCAACATTGTCACCAATGAATTAAACCTTTTCACCAGAGCTTCGAGACTTAGACTCCAAATGTTGATGTTTTGATAAAAACCTGACTGACTTTAGAAAAAGAGAACGGCAGAAAATATAGAGTAAAAATGTTCAGACACAACAATGTGCTGCAGTTACAACAGTAACATTTTGGAAAAAAACAACTATATTCTGTTTCAACATTGCATAAGTGTTTACTGTACTGTGTACATTTCAACACCTCTTAGTCGATTACATTACTGTATTGTCACTTTAGATCACTGTATGGAAATGTATATACAAGCTTGTGGAAGACAGAAGAGCTTTAGATTTAGAACATGGTAAATCCAAAAATGTACTATAATGAAAAGGTGTTGGGTAATTGATGCAAATACTTGTTTTTTAGATGTGTTTGTAATATTTTCAATTCAGTGCTTCATTTTGCAGCAGGTATGTGGCACACACATTTTGTGAGCAATTTTTGGATTTGTGTGCAGAGTTCTGAAAAAAATGAGACCTAGTTTAGAAAATGTCTGTAAACAGTGTGTGTGTGTGAATGACCTGGGTCTTTCGTACATATTTGAAAAAAGTTTGATTGAAAACAATGCAATGAAGGACAGTATCAAATTGAAGGTCTGTCATTCTATCTGATGAAGGAACAAACTGTTGAGTCATGAGTTGTCAGAGTCAGATGAGAAATGCATCAACACAATGAGAAAATGTCTTCAAATGCTAATGTGTGTGGGGAAATGATGAACTGCATTAAGATTGGTGAGAATGACGTTTCTTTTTTTTTTTTAAGTATATTTTTTTGGGCTTTTATGCCTTTAATGGACAGCACAGTGGAGAGTGACAGGAAACGGGGAGGCAGAGAGAGGGGGAATGACATGCAGTGAAAGGCCGTCCGATGCGGGATTCGAACCGGGGCCGACTGCAGCGAGGACTGTAGCCTCTACACATGGGGCGCCTGCTTAAACCACTACGCTACACGACGCCCCAAGAGAGAATGACGTTTCTAATGTGTGAGTTGCATCTTCAGGGCCCACACTGTTGTGCTACACCACTGCGTAAATCATAAACCACCAATGCATTAACTGATGTTTTTATAGTTCCAACAGAGTCTCCATCAGAGTGAACAGTGTCACCTGATCTCACGCCAGGTTCGTGTGTCAGAATCTCCCAGTTCAAATTTTATTCATATCAGATCAAAACCGGGATCAACATTTAGTTTCGTCTTTGGATCAAGTAGCTTCTGGAAATGAGTTGTGCCAAAGTCAACAGGCTATTGTTAGTTCAAAGTATGAATACAGATTTAATCAACAACTGATTTCTGCTGCTATCTGTACTTTTTCTTCTATCTTTATCTTTGGCACAAACATTTCTTTCAGGACGGGTTCAGTTCATTAAGAGGCTGGAACTCAAAACAGCTTCCGTCTTCTCAGTCTCCAGATTTCAACTGGATCTTTTCAGTGTCAGTTATTTGTAATCTTAGTAACTTTCTAAGGCTGAAGACTAAACAAAGATAGGTTCATCAAGAGGTTTGAAAGGATTCTGATTTGATAATGGTGCCAGATTGGATCATTTTAAAAGCCTGAGAGGAATGAAGAGATTCTGTGCTGTTTGAAAAGGGACAGTGGTGAAGGACATTACATCTCTGACCTGTGTCCATCTTCTGTTCTTTAGTAAATCGCCTAGTGAAATCAGCTTCCTCTGTATCTTAGGCGTACTGTACTGTATGTTTAATGTTATCATGCATTCATGTTATTTATTTTACATTCCATTCTTAGCCATATTGCCACAGTTCCCTACCAACAAGTTAATACTTTAATAACTTTTATGTTCTTAATGGTTTTTATAGTGAACTAAAAGTTGACAAACCATAAATTTGTCATCTTGTATCAAATGTATTAGTTTCTTAAAGTCAAAATTTTTCAAAAATTAATATGAAGATTTATTTAATGAATATCTAATTATGACATGAAGTGAGGTGAGTCACGCTTTACACAGTTGTATTAAAAGAGAATAAAACAAGAGTCACTTTTGATGACAGCTGTCACACACTTAATAACCTGTTAACTAACATCTTAGCTGATAATTCCCACGGAAAACGTGACCTGCAGAAGACGTCATTCAGCTCCAGGCTTCATTACAAAGACTTTTTAGCAATAATCCAACAGACTGGTGAGGTAAAATGGTTCCTAGCCAGTGCCAATTATTACTAGCCCAGTATTCAGGCATGAACCTTGTCCCTATATATATATATATATATATATATATATATATATATGTGTGTATGTGTGTGTATATGGCTGCCAGGTGGTTATAGTTTTAAAGGTTATTTTAAAACTAGAGGAAAAACTTTGTTTCACATTAAACTGCTTAACATGTGTGGCCAACATTTCCAGCAGTAACACCCAAGGCGTATCTCTTCAGTCTTGCAAGACATTGCTGTTGAAAGTCAGAACAAGCAACGCTGTGACCTGGTGTGTTTGTTTAATGACACAAGTCGCTGTGGAGGAGACACAGAAGTTGGGAGTAAATGGCTGACTTCCCACATACCGTCAACGTCACCCTTGTGTTAGCCTCACTCCAAACTGAAATCCAGAGGAAACTAAGCAGCTGCTGTGAAACAAACATGAGCACAGACTTTGTATCAGAGCTCTAATCTGCACTGGAAGTTTTTTTGGATGATTTTGAAACTCTTTATCTTGGCTTTTTATTGATTCAGTTTTATGTGCCTTGTCCTTGTTCCTTGCTACTAAGTGGACCTTGTGTTGAGACTGTCTAAACTACTATTGCCTAGGTCAACAGTGAACTCACAAAACTTGTATGACATTTCTGTATTTCCATATGAATGTTTCAAAAGTTATTTTCACTAATCTAATGTTAATGTTGGTTAACCTAAATATTAACATATACCTGTGGCAGATGAGGCCAGGACTGACTCATTCTCATGCACTGTCCTTCACCAGAATGTTTAAATTCATCTAGCTGCAAAGACCTGGAGGAATCCAGCTACACTTTCATTTGTAGTTAGTCATGTCATGTGGTTCAGTGTGTGTGCGGACTGCGGCTGGCTGTGCAAACTGCCAAGTGTTGATAAGCCAACTGATGGGTTTAACAAGTCACTGAACATGGCCGCATTGCTGACCTTTGTTACTGAACTAAAGTTAATCTATCATTGTCATCAAGCTGAGGGGTCGGGGGTGGGGGGGTGGGGTCACATGGTTCATTTTTGATATCATGAACTCCTTCACTGAAAATGAAACAACTGCCAGATGCCAATCACTGATTCCCAGTAGGAACCAGTATCACACAAACACTCAAATGGGGAAAAACATGCACGGCCTGAAGCTATTGGAAAATGTATACATATTGTATGCTCCTAGTAAATATCTGTGGAAGTTAAGCAGTACTGATTTAGTTGCATTCACAGCATTGAGTTTATCTAGAAATCGTGGGTTTAGGCCATTCAACAATAAAAAGGCCAAATATGGTACAATGGAAAATTATGCTGAATACTGAATACAATCTCTACCCATGATAAAATCCCAGGTCACACAAAGCTCTAGCTTCTCAGCTGTTAAATATTCAATTGTTTTCAAAAAGATGCAAAAAGAAACAAAGAAACCCCCCAGGTTACATAAACATGGTCTATCTGCCTGAGGACCAGCAGGTTACAGCTGAAAGACAAGTCTCAGCAATCACCACAGCCTGTGTCATTCAACGCCCCCCACTGTTACATGGCTGAGCTGGCCCTCAGTGGGAGAGGCCTGAGGCATGTGACTGCATACAACTAAGCTCTTTACAAGCAATGGCAAGGGCCCAATATGATGAAAAACTGCAGAACTTACAGATATAGTAGCTCAAAACTCCAACATGAGCAGAAACCACAGACTGAGCAAAAGGTCAGAGTCTGTTAAAAACGCTTCCTCCTAAATTTACATAGTAATCATTGTATTTACAGATCCTCTGCAAAGAAGCCAAGTATTTTGCACACATTTCTAGGTTTGTATTGTCTGTTCTCTCTAACAAGGAAGTTAAGTTATAATACCAGAAGTAAATTAAGTAATCAAGTAAAATTTTGCTGGTAAGCTTTCATAATAAAGTTAAAGATGTGCAGTGTAGTGACATTTTTTGGGATCCTGGTGCGAGTAGAATATCTTGAAAGGTTTACCTGAGTTTGAACACAAATACCAAAAAAACTATTTTTTAATTTTTATTTTAATAAGCTTATAATGTGTTTTAAATTAAAATAAGAGTAAAATGAACAATCACTTAATGAAAACATGTTAGATCTATGAACAAGTTCTATTTAAAGGTGTCATACCCAGCACTAAATAAACTCTGTTTCCTGCTCTTCATGTCCACAACCTCTGTGGAAACACGGAAACACATTCACAGCACCCACACTGATCGGTAGTGTAGCAGTGCCTATGTCTCCTGATACTGCAGTATTCAGTATGTATCAACATGAATAATTAAGCCCAGGGAAAGGAGTATCTTTACCCATGACTCTGGTCTCACTTTCAACACAACAGCAGTACTTTGTGTTGACAAATTAACTCTGTCTGTTAACAATCAAAAGACATAAGGCAGCAGATAACTGCAATAATCTTTCAAATGTGGATACAAATGCTAAACTTGGCACAAATCCTCCTCTTATGATAAAAGACGTTAGCCACTTGAAAATTCAAGATGGTCCCTGTTATTAGCAAGGAAATTTTATTTTTTTAGTTCATCAGGAAGTTAATCCCCTTTTTTTTATCATATAAACCATCTATGTGTCAAATCATACATTTTAACCGAGTTGAAGGAAAAATTTTGTACACCGTAAAAAATGAATGAGTATAATGAATGAGTATATTTCAGCAAAAATATTACTCACAAAAAAATATTATTCACAAAAAAGCCCAGCCCAGCGCTGGCGAGTTAGCTGAGTGAGCTAAGGTTTAGATAAGTAAACTGTCTTCCAGAACTTTTGGAAATCATTCATAATAAATTGTTTGCAAATACATTGTGTTTTATGGAGATTTTTAACATTACATATTAGACATTGCACAAATAAAGCTCTGAGGAAATTTAAGAGTTGTAAATGTGACACATCCTCCTAGTCATAAACATAGGATTGAAATCTGTCCTGTGGGTAAAATTCTGTGGTAAAAATATGTTTCCTATAACAGAAATGGCGGCCATGTTGAAATGTTGAAATTTCAAGTATGTAGCGAGATTTTTCAAGTTAATGGAAAAATTTTCAAGTTAAACATACAATTTTCATACTGGTATCCACACTTGAAAGTTTATTGCAGTTATCTGCTGCACCAATAGATATACAACTGCTGTACATAAAACACATACACCCTCAAATAATCCAAAACTAAGTCATGTACCTGACATGTGATTCTCATAAAAGGGGGCAATTTGACTCATGACGAAATTTACGTCAGATGGACCCTCGAGTTTATGTAACATTGTCGTGTAAGAAAGTAAAACATTGGCATCATGAAAACAAGCGGGCCAGTATAACTGAGGCCTGGAGCAAGTGTTGAACAGTCTGTGTTTTAGTGTGATTACAAATAAGGCTACATCGTACTTCTCTGCTCTTCAAAATGTGTTCACAATAGTTACCCAGCTAAGTCTGCTTCCGTAAATGTACATGTATAAATAAATTGCTTCCATACTGGCATCGCTTTAATATGAGATATATAATAATTTTCGTCCTAAGAGATTATTATATACTGTCTGGCCACTTATAATATCTCCCTTAAAGCATCTACTGAGAGTAACTGTCACAGACTTGTGTAAGTCCACCTATGGCAGTTATCCAAGCCGTTACCGTAACTTTCCTGTGAACAGCACGGAGGGTGGCTATGTTTCAGGGAGTGGCTGTGCACTGCTAACGTTAATATGTTACATTAAGCTAACTAGCTGCAATTAGCTTGTGTAAATATAGTCTGTATATCTATATTTTTCTAACAGGCAAGATACTGGGTGTCAGTTAATACAATGGGCCTAAGCTAGTCACCGACGTTAAGCATAACCTAGGTCAGTTAACTGGGACTTGGGATTTACACGGGCGGATATGGAACCGTTAGCTTGGTTACATTAGCAAACCGGGTCAGCTAACTACTACGGTAGTGGTATATATACGCCATTACATGTTTAACTAACGACAATGCCATTAAATTAGTCCCACAGATAAGTTAGCATCGTTATATGTAAGTTAAATCAAGTATGGGTTTTTCAAATATTTGCTAAAGGATAAGCTAACTCACCCAGGATCGCTTTCCTCCTGTCGGCATGCGGCTGGTCCGTGTACACCCACTCGTAGTCCTCACGGGCGACCCGGTTCCCCATCTTGTGGATCACTGTTTTCAACAACTCAGAGAGACAAGTGTGGAAAAATCACAAGGTCGTTTAAAAACAACTGTCTGTGATTATTCTCCTCTCCTCTCCTCTCCTCTCTCTCCTTAGACCCAGCACGCCTGGTTGACCTGCCCGGACATCAGTCGGCTCAGCCCACAGTGAGCGGCTCCTCCCTCCCGGAGCCCGATCCATCCGACACCTTGGATTGCAGTTAAATAACAGCGTACATCCTCAGCTCGTCCTCGCCATAACAGCTCTTACATTACTTCTCCAGATAGCAGCCGTAAATGCTCCTTCAATCAAGTTTTAATGGCAAGTGAACTGTTCAAAATAATTACTTTTAACATATATATTATGTAGCCATTATTCTGTATTATATCTGAATCGAATTGAGTGTAACTTAAGTTCATGTAAAAAAAAAAAGGACTGAAAATAGCACAGTTACTCTAAGATGCTACTTTGTCCACCTTTTCAGCTCAGATGGTGAAACTAGTGACATGAAAAAAGATCCAAACTAAATAGTGCAGTGATAGATGAACATGTGTTATGGTTATATTTTTACAGTTGAATTATATTTTCTGTAAATGACATTAAATCCCTTTAATTTTCATTGAAAGTGATATATGTTGCCTAAGTTAATGCATTCTTACTTTTAAGGATGCACTCAAATCTAAGGGTATTTAAGATAAGATAATATATGCTATTCCTCATATGTACACATATATACACATATATTTTGTAAATTTTTGTAAATGTAAATATCGAATTGCACATATTATATTATAATCTATCATTTATTGACTGCCATTTTGCAGTTTGTCTTTCTTGTACTGTCACTTTGCTGTTTGACACAAATTTCCCCAGTGTGGGACTAATTAAGGACTATCTTATCTTATCTTATTGAAAATATGTTAATCAGCCATAGCAACCCACATAGTAACAGAATGTAAACTTCTCTTTAAGGCTGATAAAGTTCACAAATGTCCACAGACAACACATGACCTGAGTGTAGCAATATTTACTCCATGTTAACCGTTATATACATTATTTACTTTTCAGAAATGAAGGAATAAAATTAGTTTCCCAGTGAAGGCCTACACAGCACAATGTCCATGCCTAAACAATTTTTAAATACATTTCCAAAGGGACAGTGACACTAATACACATGCTTGTTAACACACAGAGGCTGCAAGTGTCAGTCCCAAGTGCCCACTGACCAGTGAGACTGTTACACAACAGCCTGAGAATATTTGCCACCAACAACACCAGAGCTGTATGTTCAACAAAGGCCTATACTGTCTCTGCAAATAAGGCCCAGAGGGATCTCATCAAGTCTAACTGGCACAACTGTGACCGTGCAAGCATGTGGAAGGCAAATACAATTACTGTCAGAGGAATTCACTCTTGTTCTCCAGTTACAGAAATTCATAATCTTCACACCTCTTGAGGTGTCGTGCTATGGTATTGGGGGGGGGGGTCCAAGAAGATGCAGGTAGGTTGGTTAATTTGCATTATTAAAGCACTATAACCTGTCAGGAGATTATAATCACATTTATTTTCATATTCTATACAGCAAAAACTAAATTCTACAAAATAGTTATCTATCACTGTCAGAATATAACTTTAGAGGTGTGCATGTGGACACAAGCATCCCAGATTTTGTTCCAGATGGGAAAAGTTTGGACCCCCAGGACAAATTCCATAGTAACGTTCCTGGTTCCTATGTAAAAGTAAATCAAACCCCTGCAGCAAACACACATTAAAATGAGCCTTTCTTCAAATGTTAATGTTACTTAAAAATAGAAAATATTGGAAAGTACTTGTGGTGCAAAAGTTTGGAAAACCTATAGGATCAAAACCAAACCTCCATATAACTGCACAGAGCTGCAGGACGGCTCAGCTGACACCGGAGTGGTGGTGCACCGTTCCTCTGTGCACACAAACACGGAGGAGTCATCAAAAGGAAACCTGCAACCTCATCACAAAAGTCAACATCTGCAGTCTGCACAACGGCAACATCTGGGTCAGCCAGAGTGGTTTTAGAAACAGATGTGGACAGATGAAGGTAAAACTGAGCCTTTTTGGTGTGTTTGAACAAACGAAGGGGCAGCGTTTGATAGAAGAACACTCTGCCAACAGCTACACATGGGGGTGGAGATTTTTTGCTATGGGGGTATGTGGGAGCCAGTGGCACAAAAAACACTGCACGGAGGGAGGGAAGAAGGGATTCCACCACACGTCAGCAGATTCTGGAGGCAAGTGTCCTGCAGTCAGACTTAAAGTGAAAGGGAAAAGAGGCCGGCTTCTACAACAGGATCCAAAGGAGACCTCAAAGTCCACCACCAACCAACAACCCCCTGACCTTGAACATCACAGACAGTCTGTGGGTAGATGTTAAACCTGCTGTGGTGCAGGACAGACTCACAATATCTCTGATGCTGAAGTGATCTGCAGGAAGAGTGGGGGACTGACATACAGTAGTAGGGTGCCCAAACTTTTGCACGTGTCACACCTGCTGTTTCATTTATTTCAGTTTTCCAGTTAATGAATGAAAGGTAACCAAAACCAGTGTAAAACCAGAATCTCGGGAACTCGGTCAACCTGTGTGATAAAATTGTGGCATGGCATAGGCAAATACAATTAAATCTACAACTCAATACATTTAAAAGAACCTAAAGCAGCAGTTGTTACAAAAAATGACTGGACTTGTAAACCCTGAAAGGTTGGGGTCGTCCAAACTGCTTACTCTTACTGTGCTATTATTTTCATTTACATTTAAAATATGTATAGAGCACTGACTTTGATGAGAAACCTTTAGAGGACATTAATGCACTTTACAGTGTGTGTAAAGTACACACTGACACACACACACACTCCTGTGGCTGCACTAGCTTATCTCAGTGCAGGGCTGCGGCTGGAGAACAATAGAACATTTCCTGTTCGTTTCTGAAGGAAGCTGAGGGAACGAGAAAATGATAAGTTGGACAATAGATACGAGGTTTCCAACATCAACATGCAACATGTTTTTCATCCAGCCTCGCTGTTCCTGAGACACTAAATGTTCACTGTGGAACATTCTGTGTGACCTCTCCTGGGGTAGAAAGGGTGCCGTTTGTGGATTACACCTTTAACTGATAAGAGATTTTTATTCAGTGTCTGTGTTTCACTTTGTCCATGCTAAAAATCCAGTAAGATCTGAACACAGTTAATATTTATTTTAATTAATGAAGGTCTGGACATTCCCAAATGATATGGCAGTGATTGGCATCCTGGCTCCCACACAGTCTCCAGCACTTCCTCTCCTGTTCAGTGTGCTTTCTGCTTTGGGGTAATAAAAAAATCTAATTAGACACTTTCATCCAAATTCTCTCCATGTGTGTGAGTTGGTGCATTTCCATTGAAAGTCACAGTAACAACACCATTCTTCCTCAGAGATCTCAAAGTTACCTTCATGTTCCCATTTATTCTGAGTACACTCTGTTGTTTGAGATTGTTTTGTCATGAAGCCTTTATACAGCCTGGATATAACGCCTCTGTTCAACTTGTAGGCTCCTAAAACTTGTCAGCACTGGGTCAGTATCTGGTGGATGACTTGTAGTCTTGTTTTAACAGGGTTCCTGCACCATTTTAAAAATCTAAATCAAAGCACAATGTCGAAATGATTTTTTACTCTGACTTTTGTTTTTGTTTAGAATATTTTAAAATAGACGCAGTGTAGAAAATTCAGTTCTTGTTAGTAAGATCTAAACACCTGAAGCAGCGGTATTAAAGAACCAAAACATTCATTTTGCATGTTGGTAGAAATAACTATTACTGCTAAACATTTTCTACATCCTACTACAGAATTATTATTTTTTAGCTATGAGGGGAAATAACATGATTTTAGTGTTTTGCAGTGCAGACTTTTTTTTAGCCCTTATCACTATGGAAAATTACTTTTTTTCTCACTAAAAATGATCTCATTATCTACCTGTGGACCTTAGACTGTAGTTTTGTGCGCCCCCTAGTGTGTCGCCATGACCACATCTTAAGAATAAATGTGTGTCTGTTAAAGCGACAACAGCGTGGAACAAGAGACATGAAACCACAAAACCATCATTATTATTGGCTCTCTCACGATCTGCAAATGTAACACCTACAACTAATTTACAGTAAATATAAGACATTTTATTTTTTTAACGACCTGTGGAAACCCTGTTTAGTGTGTTGCTCCCACAACCACCGGCTTTACCAAAGTGCAAAACTGAAACACTGGAGTGACCCTTTAAAGTTTAAAGTACAGTATAAAAGAACCCATGAAGTGATTAAGATGCAGAACAAGCTTGTAACGGGTGTGAACATACATTTGTGGATAAGTTGAGTTTTAATAGGTTTGATTTGTACATTTGTAACAGTAATGTGTGCAACAAAACCATACAGTTAACCCCAAGTTGGCCAACTCAGAAGATAGTTTTCTTGGTATACATACATGAAATAATTCACAATCTACACTTTAAAGTACATGAAGATTACAGTACAGTTTTCTAAACTGAGACGCAGTCTCAAATTAAGCCACTAGATTACATCTTCTTGTGTTTTGCTGCCCAGTGTCATTATAGTACACCCTAGTGTTCACCAAGATGTGAACTGCAATTTCCAAAGTTTCTTTCCCCAAAGTTCATATCATGAGTGGTTCAGGTCATCATCAACGGAAAAAGCTTCAAATGAAGAAAGGAAAAGTGCAGCCACAATATGGGCTCACAGCTAACCTAGCCTCACGAGGCGGGAAGAGACGGGTTTGTACAGGAGAGGGACAGAGTGCCGCTGCACAGGAGCTGAGACGATGCTTCTCTAACAGCAAACCACTACTGTCACTGCAAACCAGCCACAAGTTCAGGTAGTTCCCTTACAACCGATCACAGCGGGCTGAGTCTAAACTTCACTTTCAATGTTGGTGTTACAACAGAAAGATTTCTTTTAAACAACGACACCACTTCAATATATTTTCTCTCTTCCCTCCGGCAGCATTGATCCATGCACGTAGACTCACGCCTTTCAGTGAGGCAGGAGTCTGAGACAGATATCACTAAACATGGACGAGAAAAAACAGAACTATCAGCGTGGCACCAGAGAGGAAGAGAACAGCCCCTTTAAATGTCAGTACAACACACAGTATACTTTAAAAAGATTTACATCATTTCTATTTTCACCTAAGGACCACACAAGTGTTTTTCTGCCTTTCCACTGATTCACTACAAATAACTGTCTGAATCCAGCAGGTATTTGTTGGACATGATATCTGGGCTGTGAGATACAGCTGACAGCTCTGATAAAAATCCAGGAAGTGGACCAGGAGTTATAATTCTGTTTTGAAATTGGAAATAATATTTTGGTAGAAAAAATATAAATCACGGTCCAGATAATAGCTTTTTTTCCCCAGAGCTTTCTACCACATCTTACAGTCTTCAAACTACTAATTCCAATGTGACAAGATACTCTGAATTGAAGAAGCACTTACCAGCGCTTTCAACATCTTCAGGTCTTCATCAGTGGAAGAGGTTGCTCAGATGTCATGTCATGCACCGATGAAGACTGTGAGATGTGGTTGAAAGTGTCAGAAAAGGCTAGGAAGCGACTTTGAATAAAAAATATTTTGCCAAACTATTTTCAATTTGACAAAACATCTTAACTCACAATCTTCAAACTACTGTTTCCAAGGATGAAGACTGTGGGATGTGGTTGAAAGCTCCACAAAAGGCTTGTGGTTGGACCTTGAGGAAATATATTTTGTTAATTATAAACTGAAGCACGACTGTGCAGCTGCACGGACAGTTCGTCCGATTGAGAAAACAGGAGAAATTTGAATGAAAGTTTTTTACAGTTTGAAAATCAAAGAAAGTCATGATGCAATTTTCTGCACTGAAATGAATAGAAATCAACAGGAATGAATAAAAATCAACAGCTGCCTGCAAAGTAGAAACGTCACGTTCAGAAAACAGTGACATTTCCTGCACGTTATTTGTAGCACGAGGGATGAACTAGATAAAAACACTGGTATGATCCTTAAAGCACAGATGCCAAACAGTAGTTGTATAGTTTGTCTGTCCTCCTGAGCAAAGCGCATGTAGTAACTTCTAATGTGAGAGAGAAGCATGAACATCAGGTGCTGTCACCGGAAACCTTTTAAAGAAATGATTTTCCCCACTGTGGAGCCGTGGGTTCCTTCATCACCGCTGCATCTCTAAGAACCAGAGGACAACAACAACATCTGTGGAGGTGAAATCCCTTTATAAACGTCCACACAGACACCTGAGCACGGCCTTTCCTCCGTCCTTCCTGTTTATGGAGATTCAAGACCTGATCAGACTGAACAGATCTGAGCAGCGACTGAAAAGAACCAAGCTACTGGCGAGGAATATAAATTACTTATTACTTTTTTGATGACTTTTTATTGCACATAGCCGAGTTAGTAGGAAGCAAGTGAATGAAATAAATGTTTATGGATTTAGGAAGAGGTCACTGATTACCAATAACATGCAACTTCAATTAGGTTCGATCATTTTTAACTGACATGGCTCTGTATTTTTACTGTGATATCTTTTTAGTTTTGTACGATTCCAAAATAAAATCTCAGAAACAAGAACTTGAGCGACGTTTGTAAACCAAATTCACCAACCATCTGAATTGCTACCAAACTATTCATAAACGTGAGCCTCTTAGAAAAGAATCTACATTAAAAAGCTGTACAGTCATTTTAATGCAACCTTCAATAAACAGACTTCTAAGATGCAAAAGGCCGACCACCTGTCTACACTCTGATTTAGTCAAGTGACTCAGAAGCTTTGTTAGTCCAGAGATATTCTATATTTTATTTCTTGTCGTCAAATCCCATGTGAGAACCCAAACCAACGATGAACTGATCCCACTAACAACTACTGTGTGTCCATATATATATATATATATATATATATGTGTGTGTGTGTGTGTGTATTTGTCTGAGCCATAGAGCTCTATTGTTTCCAAAAAGTATTAAAACTACATCAGTGAGTCTCACTGTTGCACTGGGTGACATGTTCCTTCATCACCATGAACACACACTGTAGTTTATTTTGACTCAGTCTCACACACACTATCCTGCTGGAGCTCCAAACACAGATTAATCCACTGCTTAAAATAGTCTGATAAAAACTACAGTNCGTCAAATCCCATGTGAGAACCCAAACCAACGATGAACTGATCCCACTAACAACTACTGTGTGTCCATATATATATATATATATATATATGTGTGTGTGTGTGTGTGTATTTGTCTGAGCCATAGAGCTCTATTGTTTCCAAAAAGTATTAAAACTACATCAGTGAGTCTCACTGTTGCACTGGGTGACATGTTCCTTCATCACCATGAACACACACTGTAGTTTATTTTGACTCAGTCTCACACACACTATCCTGCTGGAGCTCCAAACACAGATTAATCCACTGCTTAAAATAGTCTGATAAAAACTACAGTGAGCAGCTGTTTTAGCAAATTACACATTTTAAAGAGTTACATCTTCAGAAGGAACCAATGGGCTCGCAGCAGAAAGTGCTGAGACGTTTGGGTGTTTACATGGGATCTGTTAATAATAGGAAAAATATAGAATAACAAAAGACTTCAACAGTATGTAACAAACAAATGTTGACCGTGTCAACGTTGTGCAAAGTCCTGATGATGCTGTGGGCTCAGTGTTTCACCTGTGGACAGCAGTGAGCCATGTAACACTATTGTCCAATCCAACACCACGAGCAGTTTGTGTATTTTGGGGTAAAGCCTACAGGGATACTCCTGACTCCTCTGACAGACAGCACAGGGTATAAGTGTTGGTGGGAAGTGACGCGGGTTGGGGTGGGTGGGTAAGGTGTGATCAGTCAGACCCCGAAACCAAAAACAAAACTTGAACTAAATGACACACTCAGTCTCTTATTTCTTGCTGCGCAGCCGTTTGGACTGTCGTGGAAGGTCTGGGCTCTTTCTGGTGCGTTTGAGTGATGACCCCCCCTCGCCCTCTGGCTCTATGGGTATAGAGGCTGCGGCCACGCTGCCAGTTGCCAACACAGTACCAGACGTGCTGGCAACAGTGGAAGACACGGCAGCGCTGCTGGATGTGGAGGGAACAGCCGTGCTGGGCCTGGGTCCTCCCATAGCAGCAGCACTACTGTCCATCAGTTCGCGGAGCTTGTGCTCCAGCTCTGCGAGGCGGGCGTTCTGCTCACCGATCACCTGGGTCTGTTCCAGCAGCTTCTGCTCCTGGTCCTGCAGCTGCTTCTGCTGCTCCAGCTGCTTCACGCGAATTTCCTGCATCTCCCTCCGCAGCACCGTCATCGACGCCCCGTTCACCTTCACCTGCTGCTGCACCTTGGTCATCTCAGAGCGTGACGGCGTGTTCTTGGCCAGCAGGGACATGGTGGTCAGGGAGGTAGACGGACCTGCCACTGAGGGGAAAGGACAGAGAGTTGAAGGTCTTTCACTGCTGCATAAATATCATCAAAGATCCCTCTTAGGAAAGGAAATCCAGAACTGATTACAGTGGGGAGAGATGACTGTTACCTGGTGCAGAACCAATGAGGCGGCCCGACAGGTCGGCCCCCGGCAGCTTCTTCTTCAGGATGGGGACGATCTTCTCATCAAAGTACTCCATGGCCATGGAGGAGATGTCCCTCAGCTCCTGCAAGACCTCGTGAGCTCGCTGGGGGGCTCGAGTGGAGTTCACGTAGCGCAGCACGCGATAAATCTCATCGATCACCTGACAACACACAACACACATGATCAGGACGCCGCAAATACAAACCAGAAAACACACTACAGATACACAAACAAGACTGAAACACTGATGCTTTTTCTTACTCCCCTGGGAATCTCAGTGGGCCCTCTGCTGGCCAGGTCTGAGAGCTGAGGCCAGTTACTACAACCATTCTAAGAAATGTACGAACATCTGAACAGCTGGGTGTTTGAAACGCCACATACTCGTCTATCTTAGAGTCAAAATATATGTCACATGTGTCTCTAGCATGTTGCATTAAACACATAATGTGAGCTTTAACTTGTTGCTATATCTAATAGCACAATCTTGTGATATAGAATTACACTTTGCCAGTAATTTTATCTTTGTTTGTTTGTTGCAAAGTGTAGCTACATATTTGTGTCATTTTATATTTTTATTTTGTTATATTTCATATTTGGTGCTAGGTTACAAAGGTAACAATACAACTATATAAAGTCCATTACAGGAGGACCAAGTCAGACCGGGCTTGTATCCCCCAGGTGAGTGTGTGACTGTTAAATGAAGATCTGTAAATATTAATATATTAATGTATCTAATCTGAGAGAGAAAGTGATTATATTGACTTACAAAGTGATTATCTATGTGTATTTTTTATCAGTTGTGTCTTTATATCATTTATAATAAAGATTTTTGATCCGGATTAGAGTTCGACCGTCAGCCATATGATTTATTTATTTACAGTTCAATCATTAGTGTTTCTTTTATTTTCATGATGGTTTTCTTCTATTGAGACCTGGTTTCTATCACCCACATCCTGAAGTTCTGAGAAAGTCAGTGAATCGACGTTGGAGCTGACTGTGTCTCTTCACTGGAGTCGAGCGATCAACTGTTACTTCAACATGGTCTTCTACACAACGCAGAGACTGGAACTGTCATGTTGAAGAGATTTAACGGGGTGTTGTAAACTGTATATTCAGGAGCAGAATGAACCCTGTTACACATGTGTGTTAAAATGTGAACCAGCTAGCACAGAATCAGTGGAGACAGCAAGGAGATGTATGAAGAGCTGATGTCAAAGCACCACAGTGCTGAGAGACTGTTGTAAGGAGGAGGAGTTATTCTTTCCTCACCACAGGACACATCTTCAGTTGAACCTGTCTTTGCTAAAGGACTGTTCCCCCTCATGTCACTTTGATACATAAACAACACAACTTCAAAACATCCAAATAAGTATGAACAGCAGTAGAGCAACCGTTGATCACAAAATCCAAAACGGATGAATCTGAACAATTTCCAAACTCTCGTTTTTTTCCTATAATTTTCAAGTATGTCATACTCATACAATTGCAATCTTTTTTCAACCTACATGGTATTTGTTACAGTTTGGTCTTAAAGCCCTGCACAGCACTGAATACGCAAGTTTTGAACAATCTTTTGTTAGACAATCTTTTATTAGCTACTGACTCCGGGGACTGTGCCATTCTTATGTTTTCAGATCTCACAGCTGCATTCGACACAGTAGACCGGAGTCTGCTCATCTCTCGCCTGGAGCATTGTGTTGGTATCAAAGGTTATGCAGATGACACTTAGATGTACCTGCCTTTGCTAACTCTTTAAAACCGTTGATGGATTGTTTAAAGGACATTAAAGCTTGGATGGCCTTAAATTGTTTAAAATTGAATGAGAGTAAACTGAGGACCTGATAGTTGGACCCAGGGGGGCCTGTGAGCTAGACCTGTGTTCCCTGGAACCATATGTAAAACTCACTGTAAGAAATCTGGGGTATGTGGGGGGTAATCTGGGGGTGATGAACAGTGATTTTAAATTGAACAAACACATTTTTCTAGCTTAGGCTCTTCTCTAAGGTCAAGTCCTTTAATCCTTTCATGATTGTCAAAGGGTTATACTTGCGTTCATCTGGTCCCTACTTGACTACAGCCATGCTGTTTATGATCAGTTGTCACTACATGTTAGGCTGGCCCCTACACAGCCTGTTTCTAAATCCCATCTGTATTCTTTGGCTTTCAATTCAATCTGACAGTTGCTTTTATCATTTTATTGGCTTTTAAACTGGTTTTTGTGTCTTTATTGTGTTGTTTTGTCATTTTTTGCTCTTGTTGTTTTTAAATGAGCTTTAAAAATATATTAGTCAGACTTACTTATTCCCCCTGTGTTTAACCTAAAGATGGACATTGGTTTCCATAATAAATAATAGGTTTACTATCGACAGCTAAAGAGAACACTTGAACAAAACCTCATTCACAATTCCACTGACACTGGTGAATAAACTCAAATGACTGAACAGTGTCTTGTGCACTTAACACAGATGTAATAATACTTCAACATTTTGGAAATGAAAGCTTGTTTTTGTTCAATATTTCTGTCATAACATTTAACAAAGATACATAACTAAGCTATGACAGCGATCATCATCTTCCTTACCAAAAATTCAACTAAATACTCAAACTGTTCTGAACAAATAAAACAATGAGGAGATCCTCATTTATACTTGACTTGAGACCCCTCCCATCATGACTAAAGGATCTGTTAGTTAAATATGATCTTCTTCCTCCAGACACCTCCTCAAACACAGGACAGAATTACTGTCCTCTAGACAGGGCCAGGACTTAGGTAACAGGCAACCTCTATGAGTAAAACTAACACCACATCATGGCATGAATTAAAACTGTGATTAATTGATTTGCTTCTGAACGGAAAAGAATGAGGACCTTCCATTGCTAACTGCACTGACTGTAGCTGTTTGTGGACCGCAGTCAGGTGAGCTCACCTTTCCAGGGATGAAGCAGCAGAGGTTGGAGTCGACATATTTCATGAAGGTCATGTTGAGCAGAGAGAGACGTGTCTCCACAGCAGCCAGGATGTCAGCGTGACGGGCCAGTGAATGGTTTCTCCTCTCCGACTCCCGCCTGGAGACGAGTCATGATAAATGCACAGGTGAGGAGAACTTTTATTCAAAGTGAGGTTTCCTATGATTCTTAACTGTGCATTGTAACTTCATTCATGACCAAACTGAATCTTGTTCCTGAGCTTTGACACAGTGGAAAGAGCTGAGTCCATGTTCTACAAATACAAAGCGAGTCACAGATAGGGCTGAACGATATATCGTCATGTCTTTATCTAGATATGAACATGCACATTATTAATGTCACAAAATGAATATGGATGATATCAAGTTGCTCACCCCCACCCCCGGTCACAGCTGCCCTGCATGTACAGGTAAAGCCAGCCAGTAACATGGACGCGTGCATCAAATGAATTCATGACGAGTGAAAACGAGTTCACAGCAACTTGACAGCACTCACTGGCCTAGCCCCATTAAGGCTACAAACAACCCATAATGCAACTCTGTAAAAGACTGTAGTTCCACTGGTACTTTCTCTATTCGAAAAAGCATCTCGTCTCGTCTCGTCGTCTCCCGCTTATCCGGATCCAGGTCGCGGGGGCAGCAGCCTCAGCAAAGAGGTCCAGACGGCCCTCAGTTGTAATAAATGAACATGTTATTGTCTGCTGCTGAAATATAAGACAAACCTCATTTTTTAAATCTAAGCTTCAGAAAAATATTGTCTGACATCACACCTCTACAGTGAGTGTTCATCCACATTCAGAGAGACTCACTGTGTTCAGCTGACACAGTAGAATAATAGTCTACATGAGTAGCAGTATATGTGTGAATGCCACATTCATACTGTTGCATGTAAGACAATGTTGAAGTAAGTTAAGTTCTAGAAAACAGTACTCAGGGGTTTGTTACTGTAATAAAGTCTGTTTTGTGTGCTTGTTTTTTTTGGAGCATTTTTTAAATTTCTTAACTAGTATTTCACTTTACTACATTTAAAGTCAAATTCATTACAGAGAAAACACAAAAGTCACATGAAGATCTGTGTGAGAACGCAACTAATGACGAGTCAAATCAGCAGCTGCAGCAGAGAACAAGCTGCTGATTTGATGCACCGCCTGGCGACCACAGCAAGTGTCCCAAACCAAACACACCTACCAACAGGTACACGCTGGGTCTGGCTTACGCTAAATGCTAAAATACTGAGTGGATCCTTCAACTGTGACTGAGAACTAGACGAAAAGCTGGATGTAGAGCAGATTATGGAGGACTTCACGGTGCATGAGATGCAGAGTCATGTTCAGACATGTGTGTGCAACACTGTACAGCATCGACAGCCCTATTGTCAGCCAGCCAGGAGTGGTTCTTCACTTGAGGATTGTTTTCTTACTTCATCGTTATCTAATAATGATTATTATAATAAGGAAATAAATATATAAGTGTACATTTTTATCTTATTTAATTATAATGCCTATTTCAAAAATCTTCCACTGACCCTTGTAATACCATCACCGACCATTAGGGGTGCACAGACCCATAATTAACACTGAGAAACTTGCTCCAATCCAGTGTTCATTGTCCCTTCAGAAACATTGTGTGTGTAGATATTTTGGTGAGTCAACTTTTCAATAAGGAGGGTAAGCTTTTCAACTACCAAGTATTTCTTTCTCATTTTAAGATCCCTGTGATCCCCAAACTATTTGCTATTGTCTTTGATGACATTCCATCATGTGTCATCATGCTCTCTAAGGGTTCTCCTCTTCCACCTTCTGATGTGACACCTTCACTTGATCCAGTCCACACACCTACAGGAAAACTGTTTTATGCCTGCTTCCTGTAAATGTAACAACAACAGAATATCTGCAGCTTACTGCAAACTAACTGTATCTCTGTCCCTTATGTAACTGTGACTTGGATGGACTTGTTCAGGACACAGACTGGGACAAGACATGGACTCTTCCTAACAGATTTCTAATGTTAACAAAGTTAAAGCCATTTCTTTTAAGATGGTCGTTCTCCTGTCAAGTCATTTTTAGGAAGATTCAAGAGGGACATTGATGTAACCTGCACTTTTTGTAACATGCAGCCAGAGACTGTCTTCCATCTGTTGTGGACTTGTGATCACATTTGAAGGCAGCTGTCGCTTCATTTTGGACTTTATCTATGATGCATTTGTACTTTGTTTAAAGGAGGTATTGTTCGGCTTCACAAATTACACAACAGAGCTAGAAAAAGAATTTTTCTGTGTAACTTCATCATATTACTGGCCAAGTTTTATATCCATAAATGTGAGATAAATGTGTGGTGTTAAAAACTAAACGCTCTTTTTGTACCTTTAAGAAGAAAGCAGAGTGAAACATTAGAACATTATCTACCTCATGTAATAGAAAAGCTGTAAAACTTTCCCTTTGTGCTGAAATATAAAATATTAATATAATTTTTATTATGTTTTTTTTACTGTACCACTTTCAGTTTGTATTTGATTGTGTCAAACTTTGTATGTAACCCCTGGTGCTGTCTTTGTTACTGTTATGTTAGGCTCCTTCTTTTGTGGCTTATTTTGTATGTCTTATGTAATGATTATTAATAAAGAAAAAACATACATGTGATGTCAGTGTGTGGCTGAACAGATTTTTGTTTGTGCTGGCGTCACACTGACCTGGGCAGCTGGGCTTTGACTTGTCTCTGGCACAGACTGTGGTACCGCTCCACCTTCAGGAAGCCCTGATTCAGGACCCGCTGGCAGATCATGTCCATGCGCTTACACACCTGGAGAAGATGGACAAAAGGAAACAGGGGAAGAAGAGGTACTCTGTGGTAACTTCTGCTTCCACACGACAGAGAACCTCTGGAGCTGCTGGAGTTTTCACGGTCACTTCAGCAGGAAGGTCTTGGCCTCAAGTTGTAGGTATCATCAGTTTTACAATTAACACTTCGGCATTAATGATTATGCTCGGGTCTTTTCACATGTCCAACAGCCTCTTCTAACATCCCAATGCAAAGCTATTCCCTCCAGTGTACAGTGAACTAGGAGGTTACACCATTTCACAAGGCGCATGAACATTCCTCAATCCACTCACGTACCATATATGTTTAGATCAAATGACAGTTTGAGAAGTACTGGCTGAGTCTAATTTAGTGTTCACCAGAGGAATAAAAGATGTAACTGTCCAAAAAACTCAATGAGGTTTGTTATTAGCTCCATCTCTCAAAGCTTTTCTTCTTCTATGTGACTTTAAAAAATTGATGCAAAAGTCTCACGTTTCATGCCTTCCAAGCAAAGGCCCATAGGCTGAAGGTCTGTCTTAAGTCGTAAAATCTTAATAACCTCCTCTCTAACCACGTCTCCTCAACCTCGATGGGAAATGTCATGAAGTCAAGGAAAGATGTGAAGGAGAGTTCATGAGGACTTAAGAAAACAATCTGACTGCACTTACACTATGATTTACTTTTAACTAACTTTATTTGTAACACATGGACGATAAATCCTCCTTTACTAACCACAGACACAAAACAAACAGGATTCAAATGTTGAAATAAGAAAATATGAAAGAAAAATACAAATAGAGAATGTTGAGCCATTAGAATAATTAAATAAAAATAGTACATACAGTACAGTAAGTGGGTTATATGAGTTTTGACTGTTTTATGTATTTGTTAAGTAGAGAAAATTCATTTTTCAGAGCAGAGAGCAGTTTTCTCCTGACTGGATTTAAAGAGAATAAATCTATATTTATGGATTTGGGTTTCAGTGGATCAGACAAGGATTTCCATCAGTTCTGGATCGAGTCACAAACATAAAACAGCTGCTCTGTTGTTTCTACATTTATGTGGGTCTGCCAAGGTGAAACTACAATGGTGTGTCACTTTAAATGCTGCTGCAGCAAGGAATTGTGGGACGGCATTTCTCCTCTCCTTTCCTAAGGGAAGGTCCAGTGTTTCCTCTGCTAAAGGAGATAAGATAGGAAGCACTGAAGCTCCTTTCCTCCTCATGTAGAGAAGTGGAGCAGCTGTGATCATGGTGCTGCTCAGAGACTTCAGCTCATTTCACTCATAACACAGTGCATTCTTGGGTTTCAGTAAGCCTACATTAAAACCAGTAAAGACACGTACTAAGAACAGTGAAAACCTGAATCACAGGTTCCCTCTAACGTTTTCAACCATATGCTATGGTCTTTCTATGATGTCAGGGAAGAGGAGCATCAGCATGGATCTGCTCTGGCAGAGCAGCCTCTCTTCATCCAGCAGGGCCAAGCTTCAGCTGCAGCTATAGCCACTGGCTGCGACCCGAGGGTGAGTGGGTAACCTGGCTGTGGAGATGAGTGCAGGTTAAGCACTGGAACGTGACTTAATTCATAGCATGAAATGTACCAGGTAAGTTTTGTTACACTTTTACTGTCATGAGGCTGATCGCCACAGGCTTGATTACTGTTACTATATGGACTAATATGGACATGGATATAACTATGAACATTGCTGTTACTCTGATTATGACTATGATTTTAGTTGCTGGCTGCTTTGTGGTGTACCTTCTCCTAAAGGAGTACCAGGTTCAAATCTGGTAAAACTAGGGCAGTATAATAACACTACAGGTGTTCTACTCTACATCAAAATCAAAGAGAGGAGGAAGGTAGGCACAGTAAACAACAACATGTGGAAGTGTGGCTGCAGCAACAGGTCCAATAAGACTTGTGGGGGAAAAAAAGAAAAGATTTTTGCATTTGACACAGATCATCAGGGACAAGTAGGCAAACAGTGCCACAGAGCATTTCAAATGAAAGGAGGAAACAGCTCAAACTCAAGGACAGACATCCAGATCTGTACACAGAGTTCAACTTTCTGTTGTTCACTTTATATTAACATGTTGTCAACAAGTTCATGTCCTGAAATGTTACTGTTTGTGAACTGTAACAGGCACACACAACGTTCACAAAAGCTAACTTTAGCTTGTTTAGGCTAACGTAGAGGAAGCTGGGTGCTCACAACATTAGCAGACTGCCATCATCACTGCTCAGTCTCTTACAACATAACGGTGACTTTCTAAGTTAATATTTTCACACCACTGTTGTGTAATCTTGTTGGTCAATTTAAACTACCGCTTGTGTGTGTGTTAGCACTGAGCATCAGCCTCTGAGGCTGACAGATGAAGCCAACAAAGAAGTACTAAAACCTGCAGTTCCTCTAACGACCACTAGAGTCTGGCTCCAAAAGTAAGTCAATCCCCATAGACTCCCATGTTGAAATGTCCAACTTTACAGCAGAAATAAACATGTTTACAACCTGGTACAAAACCTGTTTTGGTCTCTAGAGCTAATTTCCTCCTTCATGACACCTGTTTATAACTCACCTGTTTACATTTTATTAAGGATTAAAGTTGTGCATAACTGAGGGTGTGGCCTCTTTGAGTTACAGGTGCGAGAGTGTATGCTTGCCACAAACCAGCAAACACCGAAGTCTCAGCTCCACACATGGCCCACCTCTTTGACCATTTATGGATTAGCTGGGAGTTAGCGGCGGAGTCAGGCACTTCCAAGAAGGCGATGGCAGAGCAGCTCACTCTGAGCTTCAAAACTGCTCTTCAGAAACCTGTGGGTGATGTCACAGAGGCTATGTCCACCTTTATATACCATCTATGATTGGCACACTGTGTTTCCAGCAGCCTGTGCAGTTGATTTGTTTTTTCCTGTGGTATCAAGCTTGGAAATTGAAAATTGTGGAATTTCATTAGTATTGGTACCAACTACCAAATGTCTGGTATCATGACATCCCTATCTGAAAAAGAAGTCAGCCTGTCTCAATTACAGCCACAGCTAATGTTATACCCATAGCAACAGCCATTGTCCACCACAATAACTAAAAGTACAGCCATTACCACAGCACTGGGTGTGCCCTCTTGTGCTCACAACGATCCCATTCTTCATTTCCAGCAGGAGCAAAATCGTTTCTACAAACAAATTAATGTGTAAAACACCAGGCAAAAACATGCAAACATGTAGAGATGGGGGTTCCTGTTTCTTGTCTATGCCCTGGGGCCCATTTTCTCTTCATCAGCCCATGCAAAACAAGGATTACATGAAAAGGCACAGACTGAGGCTGAGAGGTTTGCATTGCAGAAAATTTGTAATCAGGGAAAACAACTGCTTTAACAAAGTGAAGACCTGTCAGAACCTCTACACTGTGCATGAGTGCTGGAGGGGCTGCAGTGAAAAGCACAGCCAGTGTGCCAACAGAGCAGTGAATGATTTCCAGCTAACCACACCAAATTACATATCCCAGAGGGCCAGCAGTGTCTGCAGTGCAGAAGAGTTCCACACACCCAGAGTCTCGGCTCATCCTCTCTCTCCTCTACATGTATCTGCTGCTGTGTTTGTGCTGTGTCGTGTGCTGCTGTCTCCCCCAGCTAGGCTGTCCTGCTAATTAGCACAATGAGCACTGCGGGCCGCGGCTGCAATTAGACCGCTGCACACACACTCGACACGGGCTTCCAGTTTAACACTGCTCCGACACTTGTTTCTACCAAGATTTCACAAAGGTAGTATGCAAAGATTTCACAGTGCATCTGGCTAGCAGTAGCTTTGTTCCCCTTGTAGCTGACTTGTTTTTGTTCTCCTTACCGAGCGAAGCAGGCTGATTTCGTCGTAAGACAGAAAATTGAGAATAGTCTCAATGGCCACGATGGGAAGTCCTAACAGCGGGTTGTTCTGGTGCGGCTGGTCCGGCGGAGGAGTGGACTGTCTCGGTGACACCGCGTCTGAGTCCAAGGACCCAACACATCCATCAACTCTCTCTACGACGGCCGCCATCTTGCTTTGCTAAGGAGGAGGCGGAAGTGACGTCCGTAAAGGAAGCGAGCGTGCCATTTTCCCCAAGTGATACAAAACCGCACACATGTTGACGTTAGGAAAGAGGATACGGTTCACAGGCTGCACCCCTTGAGAAGACACGCTTCTGATGGAGGGAAAACATCACTAAACTGATGCAGGAAAAGCATTCACTAAAGAAAAAAAATCTGCTGTTTTTCAGAATTAACGAAATAATTATCTCAGAGTTCTGAGATAGATAATTATCTCGTTAATTCAGAAAAAGTAACAAAAATAAACAAACAAAAAAAAAAAATCCTGTTTTTCTGAATTAACGATTTATGTATCCTAGAATCATCTGGGATTCAGCTGTTTTTCTGAATTAATGAGATCATTATGAGATAATAATTTCGTTAATTCCCAATTCTGAGATAATTTCATTAATTCGGAAAAACAGGATTTCTTTTAGAGAAAGATAAAACAAAAACAAAACTGCTCCATTTTTGAGTTAAGGAAATGATTATCTCAAAATTCTGCTTATTATCTCAGAATTCTGAGATAATAAGGCAATATGGAGGCAATTAATCTTTCTTTATTTCGAAACCTTCAAACATTAACTCCAGATCAGACATTTGATCGTTTTGGTCTCTGGTGAAGAATCTTCTGCCTCATCTTTATCTAACGTCGCCATCGTCTCAGGTCGACAGGTTCACACATGATTGACAGTGGAGGAGTTGGCTGTGATTGGTTTTTCTCCTGTGATGAACACAGTCTATGGTCTATCACATTTTCAAAATCAAATAAAATTAATTCCTCTGAGTAAAAGCTCTGCTTCAAAGTAAGAGTACTTGATAGAAATGTAGTGGAGTCAAAAGTACAATATTTGTCTTTAAGTGTAGGAGTAAAAGTCAGGAGTTTACAAAAAATAATGCTCAAAGTAGATTCTCAAAAAATATACTCAAGTAAATGTACTTTGTTACTGTCCACCCCTGAGCGGCAGATAAATGGCATAAAATATGACATGAGAAGAAAATACACCTATGGAGTATTATGACAAATGACAGTGATGTATTAGCGATGCTTTAATTTAAGAACAGATGCTGGCAGCCAGAGAGCTGAGGTCACATTGATATAGATGAATCAGGTTCTGTATGAACTCATGACACTGAAGAAACATGTACTATATATAGACTACACTCATCCTGTAATAACATCTGTTTTAGTATGTTTTATTTCTGTTTTGTTTTATTATTTTATCACAGATCCATACAGAAAATTGTACAGTATGTCTGGACATTATTGGTGATGTTTTATCTAATTCAACATGCTGATTTAAGGAAAACCAAGCTCCTCAATAAATCAAGAGTGGTATAAAAACTAGAGACAGCAGTATATACATACTTACAAGCAAATCTACCAACCATCACAACATCTGCCCTCTGAAGACACAGTATCGTTTTTATCAATACAGCTGAGTTAGAACAGAGCCATTCCACTGAGAGCATCACAGCGTCAGCTGTAACATATTTGACATCAGATCTTAGTTGTCATGTCACTCCATGTCAGGAGAGTCCAGTTCACTGAGAAACCTCTGACATTTGGCCATGAGGACTTTGATGGCCTCTGTGACCAGGACATCTGGAGCGAGGATGCCAGTTGACTCCACAGTAACTGTGTAAGGAAAGAGATCCACAGTATGAGACATTTCTATTTCAGCACAAGAGAGGTTTTTAAAAAAAGGAGCAATGTAAAGAGTCACATGGAAACATTAATATTGATTTCCTGAGTGTTTAAGTTGCTGGGAGGCAGATTGTGTTGCCTTCAGACAGAAACAGGGAAGCTGTTGCCTCTGTCTCCAGTCTTAATGCTCAGGCTACGTCCACACTGCTATGGTTTAGTTTTAAAACATATCACTTTTGCTACTTTTACACCTGCGGTTCACACGACTCTGGGGTTTCTGAGCGCCAAAACAGAGACTTTTGGAAACTCTGCTGGACCTGTTTTAAGGGTTGCATTGTAGTCTGGACAGACAGAAACAGAGACCTTTGGAGACAATGACATAGACACCCACAGCCACGTCTTCTCTGCCTCGACTACCAGTGGTGAATACAACATGATAATGAATTACGAGTGTTACTGACCCTGTTGTCTTTGCTAGCAGCTGTTGTTCAGGTACATTCTCTCTTTTTATGCTACAACTGTCTTTGCTGTTCTTCGTTCAGAGTATTTTCTGGAACTAACCAACTGCAGAGTGGACAATTTGCTTCCTGTTTACACCGGTTCGCACCTGCCCAGTGTACATGAATGGTCATGTGATATTTGTTTTCAGGTGTGTTGGTATGGATGGAGATCGTTTTCATTTTAAAAACAGTGTTTTAAAACAGCACTTTCCTTTGGCACTACATTTTCTCAACTGCTGAACTACCGTATTCCTACGCGCAAGCGCACCCATGGAGCGCACTGTATTGAAGATACTAGAATTTTGTAGAACATGTAGTGCCAAAGTACAGTGCTGTTGTCATGTGAAGATAAACTGCTGAAAATATTCTACATGAATCATACATTTAAACAGATAATGGATTGTTTCGTTGGGTGTCTTTTAAAAGTGTCTAAAACACGTTTTATCTCATGGTCCCGTGCACAGCAACACATCACTCCGCTACTGTACCGTGTTCCCTGCTGCCTCTACCAACTGGCAGCCCGTGATCTGAATCTACTGCAGGTAACACACTGACTATGTGTGACTACCTCACACAACCCCACATCTATCAGCTATCCCTTTAATGTTATACTGTTTCACATTTCACTCTTGGCTTCTCAGAATATCAGACTATTCCTTTAAAGTGAGCCCTGAGCCCGCAGTCTGAGCGCTGTCTTTAAAGCAGCATGCACTGTACACATGAACAATGTATATGAACGTACAAATGAAATGGTCTCGCACTCTGCCGAGTTTCACCACGTTCTTCAGGTCGTCATGTCGGAGGACTTCCCTGCTGCAGGTGTCCAGGCGACTGTTCACAACTTTGGCGACCTTTTCCCCTGAGGTGGACGACAGAAGGACACAGATGATGACATTTACACAGCCTCACTGCAGACTCATCCAAGTCTTTAAAGGACCGGTGTGTAGGATCTGGTGACAACTAGCAGTAAGGCTTTAGTCTGCAACCAAGTAAATACCCCTCCCCTCACCCATCCCTTTGTAAACGTGTAGGAGAAACTACGGTGGCCTTCAGGTGACATGAAAACACAAAAGGCCCCCTCTAGAGCCAGTGTTTGGTTTGTTCTATCTGGGCTACTGTAGAAACATGTACAGGACTTGCTCCCTATGTAGATATGACAGGGTTCCTCTAAGCTAATTAAAACTCAATGATTCTTAGTTTCGGGTGATTATACACTAATGAAAACATAATTATGAATATTGTATTGCATTTCTGCCAATAGATCCTTCTGAATCCTGATAATTATCGTTTAACTTCTCTTCCAGTCCAGTTCCTGGGCACAGCTGGACTGTAGAAAACAGACAGAAATCTACATCACATAAACGATGAAATGGTGAGAATGTTTTATTGTAACAGTTTTTTCTTTATTTCCCATGACAATGAACCATTCCTATCTATCACAAGTGCTAATGGCAGCAAATCAACAGTCTCCATGGAAACAGTAGAATACTACTGCTATAACATCTCTTTCACTACTGTAAATTCCTCAACTTTTTTCCTTAACTAAGGAAACCTTTTAAGAGATTCTGTGCAACACCCTTAACCCCCTCAGCTAAGGGGAAATTAAACCTGAAGTGTCATTCTTAAGCAGAAAACCTAAGGTGTTTTGGACCACAGACTTTTCTTAAAGGTTTGAAAACGGCGATGTTTACATCCACGTTTACTAGTAAGCAGTCTTCTTCTTTCCTGCTTTCTTGTTTAAGATCAGTGGAATGATACGAATACTGTGTCACCCACATGCATGTGTGCACGAGACAAACAAATCCACTCATAGATAAACAGATCCACAGCTGACACAAACATTCTGCAGTGTACACAGTACACAGGGTTTACAGATGAGTCAGGTGACTTCTTTCTTACCATCAACATCTTCCAGGTCGATAACTCCTCGTGAGAAGCAGCGTTTTAAGCGCTCTGCCTTCTCTCCCTCCACTGGCTCCAGGAGCGTGATCTCCGGCAGGAGGCGGTAACTGGCTGTGGCCACTGGAGAGAACTTTGCGTGGTCCTTCCCTGAACACACGACAGGGAGCACAGTTCAGCGTCAGGCAGCAGAAAATACTGATACTATACATATGGTGGTACATATGAGAGTGTGTAGACTGATAACAGGTCATGTTGTATGTGAGCTGAGTCGAAGCATGCAGCCTGTCAAAGTGTAGGCTTTTCTACTGAGATGAGTTTCACATTTTATATTTTAACTAAACATTAAGGTTAAAATACTTTGTCACTGATGTATTCCACCAAAATAATATGTGTACATATTTTAGATGAAAGCTCTGGAAGAAACCACAGGCTCACATGATTCTGCCGTCACATATTCAGATCTCAGGTCAGGAATGTAAATGTTAATAAAAATGCATTTGTTCCATTCCTATATCTGCTCTTCTACACTGAGCTCTAACACTCACCCAGTCCTTTGACACAGTGCATAATAATGTCCAGCTCCTGTCCCGGTCGCAGCTGAGCGATGAGGATGTCGTCGTGTACGGGTCCAATGCTGGAGTCTGCAAACACGTCTGCTTGGTTCCCGATGGGGACCCACTTTATGTCCCTGGAATAAACTGAGGTGAGACAGACAATCACATTAATGTCTGACCTTCTTGTATCAGTGCCTTGATGTGACTCATTATCTTCGATTCACTCATTTGTTTGTGTTTCCTGGTCACACCTGCTGCTTGTACGTCTATATCCGCAATCCTCCATGAAACCTACCCATGTGGTTCAGATACAGCTCTCGTGGGTCAGAGGAGTCTTTGCTGGCTCTGGGGTTCCTACTGCATTTAATCTTCAGCTGCAGCTGAATTGTGTCTATTTCTGATCCTTCTTCC